CAGCAAGAAATCTTTAATTGAATATAAATTCAATTCATAAAGCCAATTTCAAGTCCTAAGACTACATTTATTCAGAAACCAATAATATGTCAAATATTTAATTACAATCCAAATTCAGACCCGTTTCAAGCTTGAATATTGTTTCCATTTTTGCCCCAACTGTTCAGGGTTGGACCTCTGCGGGCGTATCCAGCTGCGCTCAGCGAAGCAGTGTTTCAAAAACAAATTTTTAAAGAGGTACTAAAACGCTATAATCATGTTTGTCTTATTCTAAAGTTCGTAATTAACGTTTAAGAATGCAAAAAACCCGATAAAATTTCATCTTGTAATTATGGAGATATTTGCAAATTACTGTCAGTTTATCATTTGAACACCTGAACGATTTAGTAAAACATGCCACTACAACGCACTACTTATACCCAACGGAAGTAACGCACAGTGGGTAACCCTGATCAAATACGTGTGTTATATCGTATGCAAACAGATCACGGCTTGCTAAATTAAAAAAAACAGTGTTGAAATATAACGGTGACAATTATTACATTGAGAATATTGATAACCATTTATCGAGGCTTGATAATCTCATAAATATTTTAATCAAATGTTTATAATTAGAAAAGTATTGAAAAACCAAAAGCACAAATCAACCTTTTTTTCTATAAAATATTAACATGTGCATCCTAAAGTGGCCGTAGAAGCAGAAGTAGAACCGTGCATGTTATTTTCCATGGTTGAAAACGGCATTCAAAATAAGACACTCCCAACACGTGCTTCCAAAAGACGACGGAGTTCGATTTTTTCTGAGCTACAAAAAAATAAAAATTCTCTTTCTTACGACTTTAGTTGGCTACAGCAGCATTTCAAAATTATATAAGTTTATTCTCCAGATAATGTGAAGAATTGAGAACTGTCAGTCACAGTAATCTGCTTGACTGGTTTAGCAAAAACCTGAATATGTATTGATCAAGCTATTTCATTAAAAATGAAATACTGGATAGACTTGTAATTAACCTATACGGAGATTTGAAAATCAAACAAAATTTTAAAATGGAAATCAGTACAAGTATATATGATTGTCATAGTCCTTGGACCTTATGTAAAAATATTGCTATATGTGTCATATATACTAAAGTTATATCAGATCCCAGCATCATGAGCATAGTCCTACCTACGGACGAATGTAGGATAGAAAGTCACAGTACAAAAATTCAAAATTCAGTTTTTAGTGGGTTGAAATGTAGAAAACATTTGTCAAAATAATTTTTGTATTTTTTCTAGAACTTTTATATATATGGCAACTTTGTAAACAAAATTTATTCTGAAAAATCAATAATAAAAAATAATTGTAAAGATAACAATTTGTCAAAGTGGCTTGGTACTTAAATGGTTTCATTATGACATAGTGCCAATAAATATATCCTTTTCATGCATAAAATTTAACATCTATTCATCACTCTAGGTTTAAATGAACTATTTCATAAATTGAAAAATGAATATATGCAAGTAACCAAAAAAACAATTGTAGAAATTTTTCCTATGTTTTCAAACAAAACTAAACAAATAGTATGTGTGACTTTTGTATTATCAAATTTGTTACTTTCTGTCCTGTAACTTTCAGTACGTTTGTCATCACAGGCCTATGATACCATTGATATAAAATCTTTAGAAAAAGGGGTGCGCATTCCAAAATAACTTGTGTCCTAAATCCTGAGTGTTATGATCACACCAATTTTTTTTTTAAATAAAAAAAAAATATACCATACTGCTTTTAAAATATTGAACTTTTCTTTCATTCGAAATTTAAGCAATGACAAATAAATAACCAAACAAGAAAAATATTAATCCTCTCAATCACCTTTTGATCCTAATAATTAAAAGTCTGCACTTTGATACTACTGATAAGTAAACATCCTGTATACAGTAAGGTAATAAAGATCAAACGGTAGCTATTATCCCTCCAATCAGGTAATTAACAACTTGGCCATGCAGAAATGCCACCTGTTGTTTATAAAGTGATAAACTTTATACTTTGATAATTAACATTATTAAAAAGGTATTACACATACCCGGTTTTTAACTGGCAATTAATTATTATTATTACATGGAACAGAAGCCTCTACCGTCATATCTTGTCAAGATGTTATGCATCTTTACGTACATGTAAATATAAACTATATTTTTTCAAGACTCAATATTTTTTTTTTAATTAATAGCTAGATTAATAATATATTGACCGTCAATTTGTCTCAGTTCTACGATCAGGAACAATGTTTTCAGTTGAAAACTCAATGTTGAATTATCCCAACCCCATCCCCCCTTTTTCTGTTGAAACACGTTATAAATACACATCCCTTCTGAAACATATTTTGTTCCTTTTGACAAATTGGCCATAATGAAGAATGAGCCTTGAATGGGTAGTGAAATTTATTGGCAGTGCTTTAAGTCAACGATCAGAAGAAAGTTCATTTATTAAACAACGAGAAGTGACCCACAGTGCGTCACTTCCGGTGGATTTGGTTTTAGTGCTGTTTCCGGAAGTAGCGTTGATTGGATTTTCCCAAAGGTAAAAATAGTTGAACTTTCCACGCTATTATCTCCATAATTAGTGGACCAAATTGCTTCTGTTTTTTTGCATTTTTTATAATTATTTAGAACTTTTAGATAAGAATAACTTGTTATGTGCGTTTTAGTACCTCTTTAAGATCTTTGACCACATTTATTTTGTGTCAGAAACCTATAATATGTCAAAAATTTGATCACAATCCAAATTCAGACAGTATCAAGCTTGAATATTGTGTCCAAACTTGCCCCAACTGTTCAGGGTTCGACTTCTGCGGTCGTATCAGGTTGCACTTGGCGAAGCATTTTATTAAGTTATCTGACTGCATTTATTCTATGCCAGAAATCTATAATGTGTCAAATGTTTAATCACTATCCAAATTCAGAGCTGTATCAAGCTTGAATGTTGTGTCCATACTTGCATGAACTGTTCAGAGTTCGACCTCTGCAAGTTGTATCCAGCTGCTCCAGGCGGAGCGCATTTTTATACGACCACAAAACATTTTGTGGTCGTATATTGGTATCACATCATCGTCAACTGAAGACATTTGGTTTCCGGACAATAACTTTAGTATAAGTAAATAGAAATCTATGAAATTTAAACACAAGGTTTATAACCACAAAAGGAAGGTTGGGATTGATTTTGGGGGTTATGGTCCTAACAGTTAAGAATTAGGGGCCAAAAAAGAGCCCCAATAAGCATTTTTCTGGTTTCCAGACAATAACTTGTGGAATGGTGTATGAATCTCTCTGAAATAATACCACAAGTTTCCATACCACAAAGGGATGGTTATAATTGACTATGGGGGGTTATGGCTCAAACCGTTTAGGAATTAGGGGCAAAAAATGGGGAAAAACAAAGGTTTCCTGGTTAATGGACAATTTAAAAGCAGTGTACGGGAGGTAATCCAAACACATTTAAAGTGCAATGTTGTGTATGTTTGGATTACCTCCCTTAGACTGCTTTGAAATTATGTATAAAGAAATTTTGTATTGTCTTGAGGTGATTAGCTGTCAATTTATTCTTAGAAGTTACTATTAAAGGAATATTAATTTTAGCAATGATTATGTATGTCATTTTCTATTTTAAGACTTTTATGATGTATTTAAATTGGTAATTATGGTTGCAAACTCTATTGGAAATTTGAATTGAGATTATGACCATATCTTGAGGGAAAGAATTTTTTTTTGGAAGAAAAGTGGAGGGTTAGGGGTGAAAAAAAAATTTAGGGGGGAGGGGGGTAAAAAAAGAAATTGTGGGGTGCAATTTTTTTTTTTCATTTCAGATTTCAGAAATTAAAAAGAAAATTTCTTCAAATATTATTTTTTTGGCAAAAAAAAGGAGGGGGGGGGGGTTCAATAAGCAACAGCATAGTGTATTTCACAAAAGCTAAAAAAATAGGGGAAAGGGGGAGGGGGGGGGGGGGCAAAAAATTGAATATAAATTCAAATCGTATAACCAATTCTAAGTTCTTAGACTACAGTTATTCGGTGTCAGAAACCTATTATGTGTCAAATATTTAATAACAATCCAAATTCAGTCCTGTATCAAGCGCGAATATTGTGTCCATTTTTGCCCCAACTGTTCAGGGTTGGACCTCTGCGGTCGTATCCAGCTGCGCTCAGCGAAGCATTTTATTTTTTATCTGAAAGCATATTATTAGAGCTATCTTCTCATATTTTATCTTAAAATTCTATGGGGAAGTTTTCTTTTCATCACAAAAAATTGGGTTTTCCATGCATAATCTATACTAAATCTGACAATTTTGCAAAACTTGTCACGTGAAAAAAAGCCCAGTGAACCATACTTTTTATTATATTTTTGAAAAAAAAGATGATATATATATATAAACTATATTTTGACAAATTATTAAAAAATTCTATGGATTTTAATTTAGACCCCAATCTACCATGTCTACCTTTATATAATAATAATGATTTTTACTTAAAAGTGGCCATGTTGAAGATGCAGGTGAGAGACACAGGCTCTTTAATTCACCTTACGCACTAGTCTACTAGAAAATGGTGGATCAATGTCTGAAAAGTAAAATCACAAAAATACTGAACTTCGAGGAAAATTCTAAAAGGAAAGTCCCTAATGACCACATCATTAAACACTAGCACATGCATATGTCCTTCCTTTACCAAAGACAGGCAAAATATATCAAAGGGACATTTTTACATGGAAGTCGAAAATAAACTGACCAGGATATTGAAATATTTTGATAATTTCAGGTCTATTTCATCAATGTGGTTAACTTTAGCATCAGTATAATAACAAAAAAAGAAACACTCAAATTACACTGAAGCCTAGCACCTCTAAATTTATGCCTGTACAAATATGTACATGATACAAAGTTAACATTATAAAAAGGGAACAGACATCAAGTGAAAACATGTGTGTTAGGGCCTAAATTATAAACTCAATGTTGCTTTTTTAGCTTTGAAAATGGATTCGTGGGATCCAAGAAGAGATGACTTTGATAACAAACAGTTCAACTCATATGACAGAGGACCAGGAAGAAACATCCGAAAGAATCAGGATAAGAAGTATGTGACAGTAATTACAGAGTTGGAGTCAGGTTTTTATACGCCCGTTTACGGGACGTATTATGGTATACTGTTGACCGTTTGTCCGTCCATCCGTCGTCAACATGTCAGACATTAACTCAAAAAAGCTTTATCCAATATGCATGAAACTTTGGTGAATTATTCATATCTATTGACGTGAGCTCCCTTTTGTTTTTTATAAATTTCAGATTTACCGTTTCCAAGTTTTGGGGTTTTATTCATTAAAAAAGGGGGATACTGCAGTTTTCCGACAATAACTCAAGAATTCTTTCACCAACTTGCAAGAAATTTTGGTGAATTGTTTATATCTATTGACATGAGCTCCCTTTTGGATTTTTATAAATTTTAGATTTAACGTTTCCTAGTTACAGGGTTTTATTCATAAAAAAAGGGGGATTTTCCAGTTTTTGGACAATAACTGTAAAATGCTTTCAGCAGTTCTCATGAAACTTTAGTATTGTTTATATCTGTTGATGTAAGCTCCCTTTAGAATTTTATAAATTTTAGATTTTACATTTCTGAGTTATGGGGTTTTATTCATTAAAAAAGGGGGGATTTTCCAGTTTTTAGACAATAACTCAAAAATGCTTTCAGCAGTTCTCATGAAACTTTGGTGAATTATTTATAGCTATTGATGTAATCTCCCTATTGATTTTCATAAATTTCAAATATGACATTGAGAAGAAATTGAGCTTTATGTGTTTTTAGTCTGACAACAGATTTACCAAGTATTGTGCAACAGCACAGTGTATTGCACAACAGCAAGAAATCTTTAATTGAATATAAATTCAATTCATATAACCGATTTCAAGTTCTTTGACTACATTTATTCAGAAACCTATAATATGTCAAATATTAAATTACAATCCAAATTCAGACCTATATCAAGCTTGAATATTGTGTCCATTTTTGCCCCAACTGTTCAGGGTTGGACCTCTGCGGGCGTATCCAGCTGCGCTCAGCGAAGCAGTTTATTATTTATGCCCCCGCCGTAGCTCTAACAGTTAAGTTTGCCTCAACCAAATGTTATGAAACTTAAACACAATGCTTATTTCCACAAAACACAGATCAAGTTTGAATTTGGGTGGCGTCACTTTTACTGTTCTAGAGTTATGCCCCTTTACAAATGGAAAAATTGCTGAATTTTTCGTTTCCGTTCTCTAACTTTAGTTTGCCTCAACCAAATGTTATGAAACTTATACACAATGTTTATTACCACAAAACACAGATCAAGTTTGAAATTGGGTGGTGTCACTTATACCGTTTTAGAGTTATGCCCCTTTACAAATGGAAAAATTGCTGAAATATTCGTTTCTGTTCTCAAACTTTAGTTTGCCTCAACCAAATGTTATGAAACTTATGCACAATGCTAATTACCACAAAACTCAGATCAAGTACAAATTTGGGTAGTGTTACTTTTACAGTTCTTGAGTTATGTGCCTTTATAACGTGATATGCAAGTGGGGGCATCATCTGTGTCCCATGGACACATTCCCCATTTATTTTTTTTGCACTTCACTTTTGTTGAAGAATTTTCTTATTGATATTATTCAAGTAATGATAGAATAAATATTCAGATGTTTAATTTTCAATACAATGAATTGCAAAGAGAAATACAATGTTGTAAGTATCTTTTAATAGATGTGGTAAAACTTCATTGCTTATTTTGTAAGACATACATTTTGTTCGAGTACATGAAGCAACCCCAGAAAATACTGAATTTCATTCACTTGTTCAATGTTGCAGATTTCTGCTTCTCAAACATAAAGTTCAGCATACATTTGGGAGTCCAGTCTTCACTTAGATATATATGTATTGTATTTTAGATGTTTAATAAAAAAATATTCACCCAAAAAGGGCAAAATTTGTGATAAGGCCAATAAAAATATGTCTGTTTCCTACCTCTAACTTCTAAGTTTGATTGCTGACCCTTCAAATTTTATTGCCAAATCAAAAAAGAATGCAAGAAATAGTGTTTTGTGTTATTTGAGTAGACTGAATACTATTTTTGCTGAATTATTCAGTCTAAGTTGAAAGAAGATTGACTAAAATCAAGTGAAAAAGTTTTGAAATTACATATGTACATGTACCATAAATCATGCAGAAATTACCAGATATGTTGTTTAAATTGGGATAAAAAAAACAGTAAAGGTGCTAAAGAAGAGTTCACAGTTCTTGCTCATGCAAAAGGAAAAATCAAGAACAAAGGTTAAGGTTTCAGTGGTCTCAGACTTAAAACAAAACCTTGTGCTCTTCTGAGAGTCTGAGTTAGTTTTTCATTATACACTGTCTGTGAACTGTTTTCTTTCATAGACATATTATGATCATGCTATCAATGTATATCATATCCAAAGAACAGTGTTAATTTTAGATACAAGAACTCAAGCACAGACCTGCAAATCAGTGTTGACTAATTTTTGCACCTTTTGTTTGCGGTATACCATCTTTTTCGCAAGTTTATTGTTTTCTGTTTGGTATTAAATTAATAAATAAGATCCATTTGGTTACATCTGGTGATCCGTTTATTTGGCAATCGCCAATGGCAGTCAGCAGGGTTTAAGAACATCCGTTGTTCGACCTGCTAGTCAAATGCATTTTGTTAGAATAAACTTTTTCACTTTTTTGGTCTTTTGGAAAATGTTGTTTGTGCTGTATTTAGACCCCTCTACAAAGAAATTTGTTTTGCATGCACACATATAAAAATTGCAGTTTTTATCCAACACAATCATAGGTTTGAACGTTGTTTTCAATTTAGACTTGTTTGTATTGTATTTAAGATATATAGTTTTGTTGGAAAGTTGAAGCCTTTAAAGCTGAAATTCTGGTTCATTTTAATTTGAAACTGCTGTAGTTTTTATTAAACCTTAATCTGTCATTTAATTTTGCAGAGAAGGGGTCCAATTGTATATTACAGGCATACCTAAAGAACTGTCAGATGTAAGTATTTTAGACTACTATAGGTTCTATAAAACCAATACAATGTTTTTGTTTGATGTTTGCTACTTTTTTTTTAGTCCGAAAAATGCAAAGATATATGGGTATCTTTTGTCTATGTCCCCAGAATGTTAATCATAGGGTAAGTGGTATCAGCATTAGATAAGTTACAGCTATAAAGCTATCATAAAAAAAAATCCAGTTATGAGACCAGCTGAAAATCTTCAAATCTCCATTTGTGACTTGACAATTTTGTCACATGTCTGCCAGTGTTTCCTACCTGTCCATTCAAATAAGAAAGTATTTCCTGTTAATTGTTCTATTTTGCAATGCTTTTATTTAATTTGTGTGTATAACTACCCCCGTAAAAAAGGTGTTTCCAGTTGCCCAACTGACCCTAATTTATATGCTCCAACCCTAACTTTTCTTTTTCAAAAAAATTAAATTACAAATTGGTAATTTTCGTAGTGATAGAAAAAAATCTCTTTCAACATATCCCAAAATTGCTGTTATCGTGAAAAAAAAGCTCTTCCCTTAGCATGTCTCAAAATCAAATGCACTATTGTAAAAGCATTTTTGTGACGGTGAATGATCATAAACAAATGGCAGGCTTAAGGTAACCGGTACGTAAATGGATGGATGATCTCTCAAAATTTTATGAAATTTTGCACAAAAAATGCTCATGAACATTGAAAAATGTTATGTACAACTTAATACTTTCTAAAATATATCAAATAAAACATCTGGAAAATAGTATTATAAATGTAAAGAATGCACGTAAATATCGTGAAAAAGTTCAGCAATTTTGACTTAAAATTAACATTCTTGAAATCCTGTCCTACGAATTTTCTTTAAAAATCATATTATTGTTGCTGAAATTTGAGAATCACTTTCCTATTTTGCTATCAATTTTATAGGATGGTCTATCAAACCTGTTTAGTAGAGCTGGAAACGTATTACATGCAAAGATGATGGTATCTAAACGAGCAGACTTAAAGAGCACCTTTGGGTAAGTTGATATGTTGACTGTTTTGACAGCAAATTTGGAGGGGTAACCAATAGTTGAGACAAATGAAATTGAGTTTATCATTAGCTGCGTAACCGTAGCTCTTAGGTCCTTATGTTATTTTTGGACTTTTTGCGGACCATAGAGCTACAGATTTTTCCTATTTCAAAACGTTCAGAATTGCGACCTAGGTTCAGGTTGCACTTATTTCCCAAAAATGTATTGTTTATCGTCCATGCAAGGCTTGTCAATATATATAGTTAGTTTCGTTAGACATTTTTCTAGGATATGACGTATCTATTTTTGAATATTCATTTCCTTCACACTATTATCTAATTATTCCCATTTGTATACATTCTCGGCCTATTTTGCTCAGCCATATTGAATCTCGTAGTGACGTCACAAAAAACAAGAAAAGATAACTCTTGGAAGAAAGCACGTGTTGGTTTGTTTACGTTGTCTTTTATTTTATTTTCATGACTTTTTGAATGAAATAACTTGTCATTAAAGTTAAATACTAACGGAAATAATAATTTTTCCCAGCAATTTAAATATTTCGTATGAATTAATGTTGTAAAGCCTTCAAAACACTCAATTCTCGCTTAGAAATAAGTAAACAAACCAACACGTGTTTTATTAAAAGAGTTATCTTTTCTTGTTTTTCGTAGGCGTTCCTCACCTCCAACATAGGAGATCGAGGATATTAGAGTTATCTTTTCTTGTTTTTCGTGACGTCACTACGAGATTCAATATGGCTGAACAAAATAGGCGGAGAATGTATACAAATGGGAATAATTAGATAATAGTATTAAGGAAATGAATATTCAAACATAAATAGGTACGTCATATCCTAGAAAAATGTCTAACGAAACTAACTATATATATTGACAAGCTTTGCATGGACGATAAACAATAAATTTTGGGGAAATAAGTGCAACCTGAACCTGGGTCACAATTCTGAACGTTTTGAAATAGGAAAAATCCGTAGCTCTATGGTCCGCAAATAGTCAAAAAATAACATAAGGACCTAAGAGCTACTGTTCCGCAGCTAGTTTATCATATGCCCTGCATACGATAGTATGATGCATTATGTTTTTGGGTCTGTGTGTCAGTCCCTTGTAAAGTTAGTTTTGAGTAGTCTACCATGAATTTGTGGTCACTTCAACTATAGTCTTATTTATGATGAAGGCTTAAATATATGGGAAGCTTCTGACTTAAGATTTATCAGTTCAATGGACATTTTATAATGTTTTTGACCCGTCCGTCAGTCCGTCAGTCCTGTTTCTTGTCAACGCAACTCCTCTCAAACCACAAAACAGAATTTCACGAAACCTTTTTAGATAATAAGGACATACTATGTAGTTGTGCATATCGACAGGAAATTACGATTCAATTCTTTTTCTAGGAGTTACGCCCCTTTGAACTTATTTACTTTAATGTACTACTGCAACAGTTTGTCATCGCAACTCCTCTCAAACCACACAACAGAATTTCATGAAACCTTTCTAGATAATAAGGACATACTATGTAGATGTGCATATTGACAGGAAATTAGGATTCATTTTTTTTTCCAGGAGTTACGCCCCTTTGAACTTATTTGCCCAATATACTACTGCAACCTTTTGTCATCGCAACTCCTCTCAAACCACACAACAGAATTTCATGAAACCTTTTCAGATAATAAGGACATACTACGTAGATGTGCATTTCGATAGGAAATTACGATTCATTTTTTTTCCAGGAGTTACGCCCCTTTGAACTTATTTGCCCAATATACTACTGCAACCTTTTGTCATCGCAACTCCTCTCAAACCACACAACAGAATTTCATGAAACCTTTTCAGATAATAAGGACATACTACGTAGATGTGCATATCGACAGGAAATTACGATTCAATTTTTTTCCAGGAGTTACGCCCCTTTGAACTTATTTGCCCAATATACTACTGCAACCTTTTGTCAGCACAACTCCTCTCAAACCACACAACAGAATTTCATGAAACTGTGTAGATAATAAGGACATACTATGTAGATGTGCATATTGACAGGAAATTACGATTCAATTTTTTTTTCTGATACAATTTTTTTTTTTTACAATTATGTTATTTCTCCAATGACAATGTGGGGACCTGGGGTATGAGAGCGCGCTCACTAAGGTTCTTTCATTGTGATTGTGCAGGCAGAGCAAAATGTCCTAAACAAATATTGTTTCTTTTTATTGACTTTCCTGATTTTCATTATGAGACAGATTACCGTCTTTAGGTGTGTATAAAACGCACTCATGCATAGCACACACTCCCTTTTTCACCCTTGAAACTTGAGAAAAAAAGTTTCTTCTTATGCTTTACACGCAAGGACTTTCTGGAAAAATCCAAACTTGAAACTCGGTAAAATGCGACCATTGAAAATGATTTCTTTTTCGGGGACAAATTGAACTTCAGTCCTGGTTGATTACAGGATAATGAAAACATTGTTGCAGAATAAATAAATTAGCAAATGATGTTTGATTCTTTATTGTTTCCACAGATGTGTTTGATTGAGAACAACAGGAAGGGTTAAATCGGGAAGTTGTTTAAATGCAAATCGTAGTCGGTGAATCTTGTACGGAATTCGGATTCATTATGAATATTCTTTAATACACAATAAATAAATAGATTGTAATATTTATGTTGATAAATTAGATTTAAAATAAATATTAACCTCTGCTAATTTCATTTATTGTTTGTTGGTAATCATTGAATCGTTAAATCCAGATTATCACACTCTTATTGATAATCAATTGGGAAGTCTAATCGTTGTCAAAACAAAACAAAATGACAGATTCACTATGTTCCTCAATCAAATTTGTACAGGTATTAAAATGGCATTTTAAAAACATGCTTACAATTTATGATTTGTATGAGGATGTCACGAAAGTCAAAACTTATAAAATCATCACTTTATTCAACTTCATAATGTTAAAGTCACATGACATGTGATCACCTGATACTACGAATTTAAAAACAATGGCGGTCACTATCATCAAACAAGCGTGTTTTATTCAATTTTCGTACATTCACCTTCTGTATTCCTTGTTAGAACATATCAAAAGTAAGTTATAAACTCGAGAATCACCTACACTTATTTGGCCATTGACAGAATCATCTCTAATTCGGATATATGAAAGTACAACTTCCGGGCGGCAACATAGAACAGAGACAAGAAAACGCAAAAAACATAACTACTAAAGCATTTAAATGATTTTTATTATACGACCGCAAAAAAATTTTACGGTCGTATATTGGTATGACGTTGGCGTCGTCGTCGTCGTCCGAAGACACATTAGTTTTCGCACTCTAACTTTAGTTTAAGTGAATGGATCTCTATGAAATTTTACCATAAGGTTCGTTACCACAAAAGGAAGGTGGGGATTGATTTTGGGGGTTATGGTTCCAACAGTTAAGGAATTAGGGGCCAAAAATAAGCATTTTTGTAACTTCCAGACATAACTTGTGTGTTAGTGAATGGATCTCTCTGACATTGCACCACAAGGTTCCATATCACAAAGGGAATCCTGGGATTGATTTTGGGGGTAATTGCCTCCAAATTTTACGAATTAGGGGCCAAAAAGGGGCAAAAAATAAGCATTTTTCTAGTTTCATGACAATAACTTGTGTGAAAGTGTATGGATCTCTCTGACATTGTACCACAAGGTTCCATATCACAAAGGGAATGCTGGGATTGATTTTGGGGGTAATTGCCTCCAAATTTTAGGAATTAGGGGCCAAAAAGGGGCCAAAAAACAAGCATTTTTCTAGTTTCATGACAATAACTTGTGTGTAAGTGTATGGATCTTTATGAAATTGTACTGCAAGGTTTCATATCACAAAGGGAAAGCTGGGTTTGAGTTTGGGGTAATTGCCAAAAACGTTTAGGAATTTGGGGCCAAAAAGGGGCCAAAAAACAAGCATTTTTCTAGTTTCCAGACAATAACTTGTGTTCAAGTGTATGGATCTCTCTGAGATTGTACTGCAAGGTACCATACCACAAAGGGAAGGCTGGGATTGAGTTTGGGGGTGATGAATCATAAGGGGGTTCAAAAAATTGGGGGGGGGGGGATTTTTTTTTCCTTTTTTTTCTTTAAAATTTTCCATTTTAAATTGGTTATTTCTGATTTATATATAAAAGCAAATAATAATGATATGGTTTGAATAGGTAAATTAAACATTTTTAAGTTCTTAGACCACATTCATTCTGTGTCAGAAACCTATGCTGTGTCAAATATTGAATTACAATCCAAATTCAGTGCTGTATCAAGCTTGAATGTTGTGTCCATATATACTTGCCCCAACTGTTCAGGATTCGATCTCTGCGGTCGTATCAAGCTGTGCCCCAGCGGAGCATTTTATTGGCATATAACATTACAAATCATATACTAGAAGGTACAAATATACGTTTAAAACATAACAACAATCAATTTGTTTTGCAAGGAAAATATTTTCTTCCTGACCACCTGGTTTCATGGCCGACTTCCGTATCTGAAAAAAAGTCTAAAAATCAATGTATGCATACTTAATACGCACCCCCCTTCTCAGAAATCTATCCCAGGGTAAAGTTCTGCGTACTATACACACCTAAAGATGGTAATTTAGTAAGTCCAATCTACCTATAGATCACATGAGTCTTTAGAGTTCAGTTTCTGCTCTTTCAGTCAAAATCTTTGTTAAGTAGCAACAGTTATACTTATAAACACTAAATACTTTCACTACTTGAAAACACTAATTATTCTAAATTTTTGGAAAAAATTATATGCATCCATATATACACAAATCTATCTTATTTTCCTTCAGCCAATAAGATTTCTTTACTGAAGGAGCTGTCATTCGTAATTGGTCTTTGGTAAATTTTCTAAACACACTATCTTTCCTCCACCCAGCTGTGTGAAGAATAGAAGCTATTGGAATTCATCCACTAACATAGGAAGTAGCAGCTCCTCTAGTACTATGAGGTGTAAAGATTTTAATATCTATTCCAGCCAAAATTAAAACTTGTTTAATCCACTTGGCAATAGTACCCTTTTTAACAGGTTTATAAGGTTTTTGAAAACTCAAAAACAATTGAGTATTATTAAGTCTCAACTTATTTGTGCATCCTAAATATTCATGTAACGTATGAAACACGCAAATCCTAAAATCTGGCTTAAATGCTTCTATAAATATCTCTGGTAACTGATATCCAGGTCTAGTTTGCTTAAGCAAGTCTCTATATCTTATTTTAACAGAACATTTTTAATAGATATTAGAAATTTGGAACTTGATACGTGTATCAAGTTCCAAATTTCTAATATCTATTAAAATAATACTCTGCATTTTTAGCTCACCTGGTCCGAAGGGCCAAGTGAGCTTTTCTCATCACTTGGCGTTCGTCGTCCATTGTCCATTGAAAAGAAACGAGAATTTTGTAATAAAGCATTTAATTTTTAAATTTATCAGTATTAATTTGATATTGAATAAAAATAACTTATTAATATGGATTGGGTAAAATTATTGGTTTGAAAAATGATAAGAGCGCCCTCTACAATGTCAATAACAAACATGGCGGAACGTAAACAAACCACATCGCGAAATTGAAATTTTCTCTCTTATTTCTTGCTTATTGTACTCTATAGTCAGCACCCCTGCTGTCAGGGTCAATTTTGGAGAATAAAACCGCGGACTTTACAAGCCTTTTAACGGTATTGCCCTAAATAGTCAATTTTTAACAATTTTTCGTAAATTTTTGTAATCTTTTACAAAAATCTTCTTCTCTGAAACTACTGAGACAAATTTAACTATACTTGGCCATAATCATTATTAGGGTATCTAGTTTAAAAAAATTGTCCGATGACCCTGCCTTCCAACCATCATTGCCAACTTGGTTAAAAATAGAACATAGGGGTAAAATGCAGTTTTTGGTTTATATCTCTGAAACTAAAGCATTTACTGATTTAGAGCAAATCTGACAGGCAAAAATGTTCATCAGATTTAGATTTATCTGCCCTGAAATTTTCAGACGAATCCGACAACCCGTTGTTGGGTTGCTGCCCCTGAGTTAGTAATTTTACAAAAATTTTGCAGTTTTTATACGACCGCAAAAAAATTTTTGTGGTCGTATATTGGTATGACGTTGGCGTCGTCGTCGTCCGGCGTCGTCCGAAGACACATTGGTTTTCGCACTCTAACTTTAGTTTAAGTGAATGGATCTCTATGAAATTTTACCACAAGGTTCAATACCACAAAAGGAAGGTTGGGATTGATTTTGGGGGTTATGGTACCAACAGTAAAGGAATTAGGTGCCAAAAATAAGCATTTTTGTAACTTCCAGACATAACTTGTGTGTTAGTGTATGGATCTCTCTGACATTGTACCACAAGGTTCCATATCACAAAAGGAATGCTGGGATTGATTTTGGGGGTAATTGCCTCAAAATTATAGGAATTAGGGGCCAAAAAAGGGGCAAAAAACAAGCATTTTTCTAGTTTCATGACTATAACTTGTGTGTAAGTATATGGATCTTTCTGAAATTGTACTACAAGGTTCCATATCACAAAGGGAAAGCTGGGTTTGAGTTTGGGGGTAATTGCCCTAAACGTTTAGGAATTTGGGGCCAAAAAGGGGCCAAAAAACACATTTTTCTAGTTTCCAGACAATAACTTGTGTTCAAGTGTATGGATCTCTCTGAAATTGTACTGCAAGGTACCATACCACAAAGGGAAGGTGAGGATTAAGTTTGGGGGTGATGAATCATAAGGGGGTTCAAAAAATTTGGGGGGGGGATTTTTTTTTTTTTCCTTTTTTTTTTCTTTTAAAATTTTCCATTTTAAGTTGGTTATTTCTGATTTATATTTAAAAGCAAATAATAATGATATGGTAGGAGATACACACCAAACAGGATGTGTAAATTATTATATAATAAGTATTGTGCAATAGCAAGAAATTTTCAATTGCACAGTATTGCACAATAGCAAGAAATCTTCAATTGCACAGTATTGCGCAATAGCAAGAAATCTTCAATTGCACAGTATTGCGCAATAGCAAGAAATATCCAATAGCACAATATTGCGCAATAGCAAGAAATTGTCAATTGTACAGTATTGGGCAATAGCAAGAAATATTTAATTGCACAGTATTGTGCAAAAGAAGATACTTCGTATAAATTGCTTATTTCTTGACCAATTTCAATGGGGTTTTATTCTTGAATTCTTGGGGTTCTTTAATATGCTGAATCTAACCGTGTATTTAGTTTTTGGATTTTGGGCCCCGTTTTTAAATTGGTTCACATTGAGGTCCAAAGGGTCCAAAATTAAACTTTGTTTGATTTCATCAAAAATTGAATTATTTGGGTTCTTTGATATGCCGAATCTAACCGTGTATTTAGATTCTTAATTTTTGGTTCCATTTTCAAATTGGTCTACATTAAGGTCCAAAGGGTCCAAAATAAAACTTAGTTTGATTTTAACAAAAATTGAATTCTTAGGGTTCTTTGATATGCTGAATCTAAACATGTATTTAGATTTTTGATTATGGGCCCAGTTTTCAAGTTGGTCCAAATCGGGGTCCAAAATTAAACTTTGTTTGATTTCAACAAAAATTGAATATATGGGGTTCTTTGATATGCTGAATCTAACCATGTATTTAGATTTTTGATTTTTGGGCCCCGTTATCAACTTTGTCCACATTGATGTCAAAAGGGTCCAAAATTAAACTTTGTTTGATTTCATCAAAAATTGAATTCTTGGGGTTCTTTGATATGCTGAATCTAACCATGTATTTAGATTTTGGATATTAGACCATAATAGGTGAATGTCCAATTTAAAATTTTTAAGTTCTTAGACCACATTCATTCTGTGTCAGAAACCTATGCTGTGTCAAATATTTAATCACAATCCAAATGCAAAGCTGTATCAAGCTTGAATGTTGTGTCCATACTTGCCCCAACTGTTCAGGGTTCGACCTCTGCGGTCGTATCAAGCTGCGCCCTGCGGAGCATTTCATTTGTTATTATCTTAGATATCATTATAATATCTAATATCTAATACTATTAATTATGATTTTAACCTTATTTTACATGATTTCCAAAGCATCAGTAAATACAGGTGAGCGACACAGGCTCTTGAGAGCCTCTAGTTTGAACTTGTCAATGCTAATAACATGGCCAATTTAAATGTTAACTTTTTTATGCCCCCGCCTTTTTGATTTCCATTCTCTAACTTGAGTTTGCCTCAACCAAATGTTATGAAACTTATACACAAAGCTTATTACCATAAAAACACAGATCAAGTTTGAATTTTGGTGGCGTCACTTTAACCGTTCTAGAGTTATGCCCCTTTATAAATGGAAAAATTGCAAAATATTTAGTTTTGTTTCTCTAACTTAAGTTTGCCTCAACCAAATGTTATGAAACTTATACACAATGCTTATTACCACATAATACAGATTAGGTATGAAATTTGGTGGTGTCACTTTTACCATTCTTGAGTTATGTCCCTTTGTCAACATAAAAATTGCTGAATTTTTCATTTCTGTTCTCTAACTTTAGTTTGTCTCAACCAAATGTTATAAAACTTATACACAACCGTTCTAGAGTTATGCGTGTTTACAAATAGAAAAATTGCTGAATTTTTAGTTTCTGTTCTCTACTTTAGTTAGCCTCAACCAAATGTTATGAGACTTACACCCAATGCTTATTACCACAAAACTCAGATCAAGTTCAAATTTGGGTAGCGTCACTTTTACTGTTCTTCAGTTATGTCCCTTTATAACTATATGATATGCCATCGGGGGCATCATCTGTGTCCACATGTGGACACTATCCACATTTATTAATGAAATATCTTTAACTGGTTTCTAAGTCTTAAATAGACTTAAAACAATTTCTACATTCCAAGTACAATTATATTTTGGTAAGACAGGTTTTCTGTTAAATATCCACTTCATAAATTGTTTCACATGAAAATGTTTTCCAATTTGCACATTAGAAATTAAGTAAACAAAACTAGATACTACTGATTTAGCAGTATTAACGGCACTATATCCTAAACCATTCATATGCAATTCTAACAAAAATTTTAACACATTGTTTACAGATGGATCAAATTGATCAGTTTTTTCTTTGTCACTAAAAAGCAGCCATATTTTGATATATGTCCCATACTGTTTTTTTTGTAGAATCTCTCCATGAATTGATGATGATGATGTCGGCAGCCTCTGCTGATACTCCTCTCTCACACATTTTATTCTGGAGATCTTGAAAGCCACCAATCTCATGTCTTTTATGCCCCCGCAACTGGGGGGCATATTGTTTTACCCCTGTCCGTCCGTCATTCCGTACCGCCCATTATGGGTATATAGTTATTCCACATAACTCCTCCTACAGTTTGAATGCTAGGAAGTTTTCACACTTTGTACATATATCGAAGGTGTGCATGTGGTCAGGGTTTTGATTTTTATTAATATTTGCTCTTTTGGGAGATAGTTGAACTTTGTCATTTTGGAGTATATACTCACATAAGAGGTGCATAGAGTTTCCGGATAACTCCACCTACAGTTAAAAATTCACAATTCTCTGGTCATACATATTTGTCAACTAATTTGTGTACCTCTTTGTTTTTATGATCAATGGCAGACTCCACCCCTTGATTTACAATTTTTGCAATCTCGTCATACACCGGCGATCCTAACTTTTGCTTCTTTGACAAAATGTTTTCAACTTTTTTCATTTTTGACATTTTCATAGGAACTTTCATCCTCTTTTCTGGTGGTTCCTTTGTCATTTCCTCCTCATCCTCCTGAGAGGATTCATAATCCCGTTCTGATTCTTCCTCAGAAATGCTATCATAAAATGTTTTTGGAGATTTGCCCCGATTATTGTTTGTTGTTATCAACTGTGTCGGCGCATTCGGATCAGCTGTTTTCTGAATAACACTAACAGCATTTTTAATTTCAATTACTGATTTGGTTAGCTCATTAATAGCTTTTTGTTGTTCCAAATAAAGTTTTTGGTTGTTTATTAATAGCTCATTGTATAGAGCTAACAAGTCTGGTCGTTGTTGATTAACTTCCACACTTGTAAAAGGCACATTATTAAGCTCCGCCCCCTTTTTAGCTCACCGGGGCCCGAGGGGCCCATGTGAGCTTATGCCATCACTTGGCGTCTGTCGTCGTCATCGTCTTCTGTTGTCTTCTGTGGTCGTAAACTATTTCAAAAATCTTCTCCTCTGAAACTACTGGGCCAAATACCTTCAAACTTTAACTAAATGTTCCTTAGGGTATCTAGTTTATAAATTGTATCTGAAGTTTTGATCCATCGACAAACATGGCCGCCATGGCTAAAAATAGAACATAGGGGTCAAATGCAGTTTTTGGCTTATATCTCAAAAACTAAAGCTTTTAGAGCAAATCTGACATGGGGTCAAATTGTTCAATTGGTCAAGATCTATCAGCTCTGAAATTTTTAGACGAATCGAACAACCCATTGTTGGGTTGCTGCCACCGAATTGGTAGTTTTAACAAAATTTTGCCGTTTTTTGTTATTATTTTGAATATTATTATAGATATATATAAACTGTAAGCAGCATTAATGTTCAGCAAAGTAAGATCTACAAAAAAGTTAATATGACCATAATTGTCAATTGACCCCTTAAGGAGTTATTGCCCTTTAAAGACAATTTTACACAATTTGTTCATCAAGTTTGCTAACATTGAAAAATCTTCTCCTCTGAAATACAGGTGAGCGATTCAGGCTCTTGAGAGCCTCTTGTTGTTTTTCTCAACTGTCGCTCGTTTCGGAACAGAATTTAAACAGATGGACTGATGATGATGGAGCTCCAGTATGAATCAACGGACGGGAACCATCATCCTTCACCACTATTGCCTGGTCTTGGAAAACATTGCAATTTTCCACCACCGGGTCCACAATAATAAATTCCTCTGCCATTGTTCTGAACTTCCTAAACTCACCAACGCAAAAACATCCAAACAAAGAAAAATGTTTACAAACATAATTTCAAATAAAGATTATTAATAACATCACTATAGTAAAACTTTCAAACTACGAACAATTCCTGACTATCCAAAAACATGACACGGGTTATGTTCTTCTCATATATTTTATGATGGTATAATACTAAACCCCTAACAGGAGGGATTGTGCCTGATATTCATATGATGAAGACATAATCTTTCAATCAGTTTAATTGAGGTCTGGAGCTGGCATGTCAGTAACTGCTAGTAGTCTGTTGTTATTTATGTATTATTGTCATTTTGTTTATTTTCTTTTGTTTCCTATTCTGACATCGGACTCGGACTTCTCTTAAACTGAGTTTTACTGTGCGTACTGTTGTACGTTTGTTTTTTCTGCATTGGCTAGAGGTATAGGGGGAGGGTTGAGATCTCGAAAAACATGTTTAACCCCACTGCATTTTTGCGCCTGTCCCAAGTCAGGAGCCTCTGGCCTTTGTTAGTCTTGTATCATTTTTAATTTTAGTTTCTTGTGCATAATTTGGAGTTTAGTATGACGTCCATTATCACTGAACTAGTATACATATTTGTTTAGGGGCCAGCTGAAGGACGTCTCCGGGTGCGGGAATTTCTCGCTGCATGGAAGACCCATTAGTGGCCTTCGGCTGTTGTCTGCTCTATGGTCGGGTTGTTGTCTCTTTGACACATTCCCCATTTCCATTCTCAATTTTACTAACATATATAAAAAAAAAATAATTTTGTCTCCTGAATAAAAAGTCTAACTTTGCATAACAAAGGATCAACCTCGTTCTGATTTGCATCATGTGATCATCTGTTCACTCATTTGATTTATAGGTAGAATGGACTTACTAAACAAATATTAATCTCTGCTAATTTTATTTATTGTTTGTTGGTACTCATTTAATCGTATAATCCAAATTATCACACTCTTATTGAATGTCAATTAGGAAGTCTAATCGTTGTCAAAACAATTCAATATTGACAGATTAATTTTGTTCCTTAATCTTATCTGTACAGTTTACAAGATGGTATTGACATGTCTGCAATTATGATTTGTATGAAGGTTTTTTTTTTAAAATGTTACAAAGTAAAAACGTGTTTAAAATTATCACTTTATTCAACTTTACAATTGTTAAAAAACACATGACACATGATCACCTGATACTACAAAAGTAAAAAAAAAACAATGGCGGTCGCTATCATCAAACGGGCGTGTTTCGTTCAATTTTCATACATTTACCTTCCGTTTTCCTTGTTAGAACACATATACAAAGTAAGTTATAAACTCGAGAAACAGTTACACCTACACTAATTTGGCCATTGATAGAATCCTTCATTTCTTATTTGGACATGATCAAATGCAACTTCCCGGCGGCAACGAAGAACACAAGAAAACGCAAAAAACAACTACTAAAGCATTTAAATGATTTTTATTTGCATTTATCATTACAAATCAGATTCAAGAAGGTACAAATATACATGTAAAACATAACAACAATCAAGTTTATGCTATGAAAATATTTTCCTTCAGACCACCTGGTTTCTTGATCAGAATTATTTGACCTGAAAAGAAAGTCTCAAGAACAGTATAGCCATACATAATACGCACCCCCCTTTCAGAAATCATTCCCAGAATAAAAACCAGTGTACTATACACACCGGTAAAACATTCAATTGAAAATCAAATTTCTAAGAAATTTATTCAAATTTTGCTTATAAAGAGATATCTCTGAAGTGATATGTTCTCCTTTAAAGGTGAAAAATAGTTTCCTGATAAAAAAAATTGGCCTTACAGATAAAGATCTATGGTATGATAATACTATGATTGTATATGTATTGATTCATATAAATGTTAGTTTGTATCTGTGAACATGGTTAAATGATGGTTTATATATATTACATATTAAGAGTTCTGCCCAGCTTTTGCAATTCACTGTTGCAGAATCTAACATCATGGGTAATATTTTCAATAATGTAAACAAAAACATTGGTTTACAGCATCCTTAACAGTGGTTATACGACCAATGCTGTAAAGTTGGTGTAGTTCATTATAGTAATTTACACATAATTTTTTCAAACGTTTTTCCAAAAGGTTTGTGACCATGTCTAATTTGGCCGAAGCAGAAGATGCCATACGTCAGTTGAATAAATTTGAATTGAGAGAACATACCCTAAAAGTTGCTATTGCTATGTCAGATGAGGACAGACAAAGGAGAAAGAACGAAAAACAGGTTTTTATGCAATTATTAAGAAAAAGTCATGCTAAAAGTTGCTGAGGTAGCTCTAACAACACAGATTTTTTTGTAACTGATATGGAAGTACATACTTTTATCTATATATATATGTTCAATGTAAAAAAAAACCAGATTTCTTGAAAACTAAAACTGAAGTTGTGTTCCTCGTCTAAGGTCACTCAGTTAATATCAGGGTAATGACACAGAAATGGATTCAACATGGATTTACCTAGAAGTATACACAAGACTTTTTTTATTTATCAAACAAAATATTTATTACAATAAAAACATATAAAATTTATCACTACCTACCCACATATAACTTTTGAGATATTTTACAGTACTCAATTTCCCATAAATATGTTGACTGCCAGGAAGTTAGAATTTGCAATGGAAAAATAGGTATCAGTACAAACATAAATTGTTCAAAAATGTTCTCCATAGTATCCTACCGGTTTCACTGTTTAACAGATCTTCAAGGATTATGGTTGCTTGCGACTTCGTCAGGGGTAACGTCCATCAGTGACATTATTATTTAGTACTTTCACTTTCGTTTTAAGTACCTACGTTGTGCTATATTATGACGTTCAGGACTAAATAATAATGTCACTGATGGACGTTACCCCTGACGACGTCGCCAGCAACCATATCCTTGAAGATCTGTTAAACAGTGAAACCAGTAGGATACTATGGAGAACATTTTTGAACAATTTGTTGTTGTAATAGACAAAATGTGAATATTCATATTGAATATAAATATTTGGTGCATTTTCAGCCTTACTTTTTTTTCCCTATTTTATGCACAGCGTGGACAAAATTCAAAACTTTTCAATATATATATATATATATATATATATATATATATATAATCAGTACAGTGTATATATATATATAACTACTCTAAATATCAGCACAACAATGTTAAATCTGCAAAAGCAAATTTTTGTTCTTCCCTCGGCGGGATTCGAATTCATGCTATTGGGATATTGAGACAACACCGCCTGCACTGTGTCCATCGCTCTAGACCACTCGGCCACCTAGACTGAACTAATAATTCAGCTGTGTTACCTTTCCGCATCAGTAGAGTCTAGAGTTGTAACACAGTACATGATATATTAGGCATGAAGATGGAATTGATTGCAGATTAGCTAAATATCTATCGTAAAGGATCGTATGATACAGTCACAGAAATAATTATTTTGATAAGTATGTCTAGACAAGTGACAACTCTACAACAGATCCATCCATTGTACACGGCTGAAAACACATATTATATTCATAACTACTCTAAATATCAGCACAACAATGTTAAATCTGCAAATTTGCGGAAGCAAATTTTTGTTCTTCCCTCGCCGGGATTCGAACTCATGCTATTGGGAGATCAAGACAACACCACCTGCACTGTGTCCATCGCTTTAGACCACTATATATATATATGAAATTGGATGTCTAGCATCAATTGGGCAAACTATCTACTATATTCTTTGAGAGAACATGTGTATATTGCATGTATATGAACCCTGCTTTATTTTATACCTTTACGCTATATAAAAATAAGATGTGTTATGATTGCCAATGAGACAGCTTACCACCAGAAACTGAATGTTGTAAAAGTTTGCAATTAAAGGTCACTGCATGGCCTTCAACAATGACTAAAACCCATACTGCATAGCAAGTTATAAAAGGCCTGACATAACAATTGTAAAACTATTCAAGCGAAAAAAATAATGGCCTGACCTATGAACAAAGCAATCATGCCTGATTATAAACATGCAACTCACAAGATAACAGTCCTCAGGAATGCATGTTTAGCCACACTTAAACAATAGTTGATGAAACCATATTGGTCAGTCTTTATTTCTCTTAATTGCAAGGTGCTAAAAAGTGACAGAGAGGTCTTGTGCGTCAAGGAAAAGGTCACTAGACTTGTGTTATGTTTTATGGTATTAATTTAAGTTTAAAAAGAAAAAGATAGTAATACATAGTAATATAAGTTATTGTATTGTATTTTAATCAGGATCAAGAAGAGTTTCTTAATTCCTTGCCTTCAAGTAGAATGGGTGGTCAATCCCGGCCCAGAGGTTCAGACAGCGACAGTGATAAAGGCTCAGTAAAGGTAAAAACAAAAAGGAATGCATTACAAAACATTTTTAGAAAAACATGTTATCGTTTGAACTAAGGATATATTTTGTTTGTGTAATTATCACGAGAGGCTGAATGCAAGCAGTTGTCTTTCTTCCTGTAATTATATATTATATGGCATCCTAAGGGAAAAAATGTTTTGCATATTGCTAAATTATACTTTTACCTTGTATGCATGAACACTTTTCATCACATTTCCATCTTTCAAGACTTAAATTTATCTGTCAGTTATGTAAACATATACTGAAATGATACATCAGTGGCTTTCAAAATCCTTTGAAAAGATTTCTCAGCTGATCAAGATAAACAATGCACTTCTGAGAGTTATTATGTTTGCACCCTGCCATTTTCCTTTCATTTTAAAATTGTTGATTTCTATGAACTAGTTGTGCATGTGATATTTTTTCGTGATTGCTAAAAATAAATCCATGTGTAAAGTAATCATTTATAATTTTATATTCATTTCTTGAATAGCATTCCATATATGCCAGTTGAAAAAATCATTAATTATTTTAAGATGGTGTGTAGTCATTCATGTATGCTATAATTGAGGATATCAACATTGAACTTGTAAAGTCAATATGGCTTTAAAATATTTCAGAAGTCACCAACAAAGCTAACCATTGATGCAAAATATATGTCATTGTGTTACCCTTCAAAATTTTCTAATATCAATATTCAGGTATCTATTTGAATGGGGGAGGGTAAAATATTTCAAAAGATTAACTTCTGTAGTTAAAATTGCATCTTGCAATCAAAACCCTTAGTTTTCGATTTTCCAGATTTTATCTATACTTTTGAGATAATAAAAAAAAACATTTTGCATTAAGCACAACATTTTATACATCCTATTTATGAACTTTTCAAGAAATTTATCAATGAAATATTTACTCAGATAATCAAGTTACGAAAAACTGCCCATGTTAATCTAGTAACTGTCCTAAGAATATCAATGGTTTCATTGTTGTTGAAATATTTACAAATTTAAGTTCCCACTGCAAAATGAATGCAATCTTGACTCTTCTCTGATCACAAGCACTTTGATAAATTTCATGAACAGAGTGCCACGACTAAGACAGGAAATAACAACTGTCATAAAAGTACCATGTGGATAGATAAGCATTCTAAGGAAAAAGCACAGTCATATTGATTGTATTGTCTATTTTTATTTTCAGTCTGGAAGAAGAATTGTATTAACCAACGGTCATCATGGACAGCATGGGTAAATATTGTTTCACTGAAATTTTATTCAAAACATTTATAAGGTACAGCTTGTATGACTTTTAAAGACAAATAAAAAATATTAATCAGAAGAGTGTTTTTCTTTTCAAATAATGGTAGACAGACATTTTTGTAAGTGGAGAAGATATGTAGAATTCAAACAATGTGCATCTTGGTGTTTGTTCTTTGTTTTGTGTCCAATTCTGTTTAAACTTTGTCGAATGTGAATCTTGATATAAAGATGTACTTTACGATTTAATGTAAGTGAAAGTTTTCAATGTTGGAGCTACAAATTTTCACTATTAAAGCAAAATATTTGAGGAACAAATATGTCAAAACTAGCCCAAATAAACTGCAATGATGGCATTCTTTTAAATATCCAAACAGCTAAAAAATGAACAATTTATAAGAATATTTCAAAAGGAAGAAAGCAAAAAAATTAATGTTGATCTAGTTAAATATCAGCGCAAATTGAATTAATTTTTTTTTTAATTTTTCAGAGCTCATAAACAGATGAATAACCAAGGTATAAGAAACGATGGCAGACCAGGAATTCTTGGCAGTTATTTAGGAACACACATGAAATGTGGTGAGAACAGAGGTTAATGCTGAACTCATAGCATTAACTTCTGACTGGATATTCCTTATTCTATATTTATATTCTATTTCGTTTGTCTACACTGAACGTACTTTTATTCAAATGATACCAATTTTTATACGACCGCAAAAAAATTTTGCGGTCGTATATTAGTATGACGTCGTCGTCATCGTCCGAAGACACATTGGTTTTCGCACAATAACTTAAGTTTAAGTGAATGGATCTCTATGAAATTTTACCATAAGGTTCAATACCACAAAAGGAAGGTTGGGATTGATTTTGGGGGTTATGGTACCAACAGTTAAGGAATTAGGGGCCAAAAATAAGCATTTTTCTAGTTTCCAGACAATAACTTGTGGAACGGTGTATGGATCTCTCTAAGGTTATACCACAAGTTTCCATACCACAAAGGGATGGTTAGGATTTGCTTTTGGGGGTTATGACTCAAACCATTAAGGAATCAGGGGCAAAAAAGGGGGAAAACAAGGGTGTCTTGGTTAATGGACAAATACTTTAGTACAAAACATAATTTAAAGCAGTGTAAGGGAGGTAATTCAAATACATCATTTGAATTACCTCCCTTACACTGCTTTTAAATTATGTATAAAGTAATGGTAAATGAATAATTTAGACAATTTAAAAGCAGTGTAAGGGAGGTAATCCAAATACACCGTTTTGGTTACCTCCCTTATACTGCTTTTAAATTATGTTTAAAGAAATGCATATTTATAAAGGAAGACCAGTAAAAATATCTGCAAATGTTGCATCTTTTTTTTATTACAAAAAAATCCATATGAAAGATTTGAAAAAAAAGTGTGTGTGTTGGAGGGGGGGGAGGGGGGTTAATACGCAACAGCATAGTGTATTGCACAAAAAAAGGGGGGATAAATTTTTTATTTTTTTTGTGGGGGGAGGGGGGGTCAATTCGCAACAGCAAAGTGTATTGCACAAAAGCAAAAAATTGAATATAAATTCAAATCATATAACCAATTCTAAATTCTTTGACTACAGTTATTCTGTGTCAGAAACTGAAGATATTTTCAGAAACTAAGAAAATTTTAATCTGGACGAAAATATGTTGATGGTAAACAACCTGTATTATTTAATTTTTAGAAATTGAGTTTTGATCTTTAAAGTTGCTAGAAAAATAAAAGGGGAGGGAATGTTTTGAAGTAAAATCAGTTGAATGAATGTACATGACATTAAAATTGATATCTTGTGTTTTTTACTTGCTATAGGATACAATAACAGACCAGGACTTCTTGGCTATTATCCAGGAACACAAACGAAGTGTGGTGAGCTAAGGGGTTAATGCTGAACTTGTAGCATTTAACTTTTGTTTGAAACTGTTTGAACATTCTAATATCAATATAAAAATAAGGAGATGTGGTATGATTGCCAATGAGACAACTATCCACCGGAGTTCAAGTGACTTTGATATAAACAATTATATGTCAGAGTACGTCCTTCAACAAAGAGAAATCAGAATGACTAAGTCATTGGTCAGCATTTTTACAGTGATGAGTTGTAACTTGTGAGCTTTCTTTTTGTCTGTTAAACACCTACTTGCTGTTTTCAGATACTGTGGATTTATTTATTTTCTTGGGTACCAATTTTTGTGGATTTAGGAAAACAAATATTTTTCGTGGATATTCATGGTTTTGCCAAAGTTTGCATATGAGTCTATAAAAAAATTGTACTTCATTGAACATGTAAATTCATGGTTTACCTAAATCTATAAATGTATGAAAATTGGTATCCCACAAATAATAGTGAAGACACATTACTTAGAATTGTGAGTGGAGGTATGATGAGCACAATAATGTGGGCATTTTTATTGAAAGTACAACCACCTTCAGAGGCAATGGGAAACCTTTTAATGGTCATGTATAAAACATCAATGTGTTTTAAAATTATATTGATGGCATAAATTATCTGGCTTATTCTGAATTTCATCATTCTGCTTTTCTACAAAAAAAATTGCATGTTTGTTTACTATTTAATGTGTAAATGGTATAATCTCCTTTGATATTTATACCCCCGCTTTATAAAAAGGGGGGGGGGGGGTATCAGTGTTTTAGGATTTTTATACATATGCAACTTTCCAAGGGAAAGTTGATATCAAAAATTCACTTTCCCACAAGTTTAATGAATTTTCCCTGAATTTTATACTATTTAAAAATTGTTTTCCTAATTTTTTTATTCCTTTCATCGCATGCCATGTTTATACATGTAGTTTAATTTGAAATTATGAACTCTGTTAATTCTTTTGAAATTAATTAGTTTGTCTAACCAGCTTGTGATTTGTTGATAATTCAATGTTCATGTAGATATACAAAACATTTGATGGAATATACAATGTATTAATTTTATTTTGAAATATATTAATTTTAGTTTGACACAATTCTTTTTGTCCTCTTTTTGGCTCTATTGCAACTGTCTTCTTTGGAAGTGACAAGGAAGGATTGATGCTTTGACCCTTTACATGTCTGGTCCGGATATTACATGTTTTCCCGTTTGCGTTCCGGTTATTCGGTTTTTGCATCTAGATCGGATGGATACTTGACATTGCGGATTTTCCTTGCTTAGCTATCAAGCGTATTTATGACATTGATTGCGAAATACGTACACACGTTTTTCTCCCTACACTTTAAAACCCCTGCATGATTTACACCAACAACAATGATCTGGCTTTGAGACTTTGGTTGAAATAAAAGAATACAAACAGTTACATCGATCTTTAATCTGTATGAATAGGAAGTTTCTGTAATTTAATTTTACTTGCCCACGGACAACAAAGGTTTAAATTTCCACTTTCCTGTGACCTTAATCAACTTACCACGGGTGACAGGAAAGGAGAATTGTAGAACACTGGGTATACTGTTTTACCTCTGTCTGTCCTTCCGTCAATCCATCCGTCAGTCCATCCATCAGTCCGTCGGTCCCATGAATATTTTCGTCACATTTTTCTCAGGAACTACTTGACAAAGATTTCTGAAATTTGGTTTCAGGGTTTATATAAGTAAGTTACACCGTGTGATGCGTTTTCAGATTCATCACTCAACAACTTCCTGTTTACTGAACACTTGTATTATTTTACACATGACAGCCAAGTTGAAAATTTTCGTCACATTTTTCTCAGGAACTCTACTTGACAAGGATTTCTGAAATTTGGTTTCAGGGTTTATATAAGTAAGTTACTCCGTGTGATGTGTTATCAGATTCATCACTCAACAACTTCCTGTTTACCGAACACTTGTATTATTTTACACATGATAGCCAAGTTGAAAATTTTCGTCACATTTTTCTCAGGAACTACTTGACAAGGATTTCTGAAATTTGGTTTCAGGGTTTATATAAGTAAGTTACACCGTGTGATGCGTTTTCAGATTCATCACTCAACAACTTCCTGTTTACTGAACACTTGTATTATTTTACACATGACAGCCAAGTTGAAAATTTTCGTCACATTTTTCTCAGGAACTCTACTTGACAAGGATTTCTGAAATTTGGTTTCAGGGTTTATATAAGTCAGCTATACCGTGTGATGCATCACTCAACAACTTCCTGTTTACCGAAATATTTCGGCAGGGGTATCATCAGTGAGCAGTAGCTCACAGTTTTACTTGTTCATTATTTGAAAACATAACATAATACAAGGAAAACTGCTACAATATTTTTCCCTTCCTGTAGTCAAGAACAAGCAAACTCCTGATATACAGTAAGCTCTAAATGGCAATGAAAAATTACTTATGGCTCTTTTCAGCAGCAATGGGCAGCAATCTGACTGTCAAAGTATTTGTTTTTTTTTAATTTTATTTAAAGATTCTTTCATTTGATAAACAGCTTAGTACATATGAAATAAAGGATGTAAGCTAACAAGGTAGGTATTTGTATGTAACACACTTTTTATGTTAAAAGGCCAGACTGAGTAATTGAAACAGTTATCTTTTTATGAAAGCTGTTGGAAAAATATTTCAACATCAAAGGCATTATATAGTCTTCTTCCTGTTCTTTACAAAACACTAGTTTTTTCTGGAAATTATCTGTATTTATAGTGATAACTAAGTAGGAGTATTATTCCAGGTGGAAGAGTGACCCCAAACCCTTCATATATGCCTGTACAACATGGGCCATCACAACTGAGTCAAAGATTTAACCAATTTGATGGAAATGGATTAATGGAATATGATGGACAGTCTGATTGTGGATCCTATGCTGGTGCAAGAGGACGAGGACGTGGCGCTAGTCCACAAGATTTTAGGAACAGCAACTCTGGTGGTTATGGGCGTGGGATGCCACAAGGGGACAGAGGATATGGACGTGGGAGAAATCCAGGCTATGGAAATCCCTTTGGTGATGGGTATGGGCATGGCAACAGGCAACCAAGATACTATAATGATGGAAATAACATAGATTACAGAGGTTTTGGGCGTGGCCAACCTTACCCAGGTGGGGATTATTACAATGGATATGAAGGTTATGGGGGAGGTTATTATGAAGATCATAGTTATAACAATAACAATTATGGATACACATACCAGGACAACTATCATAATACCCCTAATTATGGAGCTCACAGAAAGGGTAATATGGATTATGGTAAAAGACAAAATATGCATGCAAGCATGGAATCTCTAGCAGGTAAGCATAACTACATGTAATTTGTGTTGTACTGTGGATTATCTATTTTCGTGGATACCAAATTTCGTTGATTGAGGAAAAATTGTATTTTCGTTTGTAGTTGATTTTATGGTTTTGCCAAAGTCTGCATATATGTCAAGAGAAAATGTGTACTACGTTAACATTCAAATTCATGTTTTACCTATACCAACATAATCCAGGAATAATAATGAATCCGCAGTAAATTGTCTTCAAATGATTAACCGTGAATTGATTCAGCACTACTTGACCAAATATTTTAAGAATTTTGAATAATCTATAGAAATTTTACTTAAATAGATGTATTGAGACAAAATATGTTAAGTGTTAAACTGAATGTTGGACTCTTTGAGAAGACAATGTTATCATTGCAGGGTAAAAAATAACAACTGCATTAAAACACCAGATGATGTTGGTTAATAGTACCTTCAAAGTGCATACATATATAGTTCCTGTTTCTCAATTGAAAACTTACTCCTAGCGATAAATATAACCCTCACAACTAAAAAATTATGAGTTTTACAATTAGAAAAATATTAAATGTGGAACTTTTCTTTTTATAGAGGGGGATTTGTAAAAACGACCGTTATCATTTCTTGTAGAAATACCAACTTCATTTTTCATCAGATCTTCTTCAGACTTGTACAAAGGTTTCCACTGACCAAAACCTCTTAATTAGTTCGATAATCACAAAATTCTGAAGGAGGAGGGCATTTTTAGCTCACCTGGCCCTTAGAGGGCCAAGTGAGCATTTCTCATCACTTGGTGTCTGTCGTCATCGGTTAACTTTTACAAAAATCTTCTCCGAAACTACTGGGCCAAATTTAACCAAACTTGGCCACAATCATCATTGGGGTACGAATCTAGTTTAAAAAATGTGTCAAATGGCCGACATGGCTAAAAATAGAACATAGGGGTCAAATACAAGTTTTGGCTATTATTTTGAAAACCATTTTAAATAGAGAAAATCTGACTGTGCAAAAATGTTCAGAATGTTGAGCTCTACCAATTGTTCATTGACGTCTAAACTGTCCATCAACCTTTTTATAGGAGTTGTTGCCCTGAAATGACAATTTTTACCATTTTCGAAGGGCCAAGTGAGCTGTTCTCATCACTTGTCGTCCGTCGGCGGCGTCGTCGTCATTTTTTTACAAAAATCTTCTCCTCTGAAACCACTGGGCCAAATTTAACCAAACTTAGCCACAATCATCATTAGGGTATCTAGTTTAAAAAATGTGTCTGATGACCCCACCAACCGACCAAGATGGCCGCCATGGCTAAAAATAGAACATAGGGGTAAAATGTAGATTTTGGCTTATATCTCTGAAACCAAAGCATTTAGAGTAAATCTGATATGGGTAAAACTGATTATCAGGTCAAGATCTATCTGCCCTGAAATTTCAGACAAATCTGACAACCTGTTGTTGGGTTGCTGCCCCTGAATTTGTAATTTTAAGGAAATTTTGCAGTTTTTGGTTATTATCTTGAATATTATTATAGATAGAGATAAACTGTAAACAGCAATAATTTTCAGCAAAGTAAGATCTACAAATAAGTTGTCATGACCAAAATTGTCAGTCGACCCCTTTAGGAGTTATTGCCCTTAATAGTCAATTTTTAACAATTTTTCGTAAATTTTTGTAATCTTTTACAAAAATCTTCTTCTCTGAAACTACTGAGACAAATTTAACCATACTTGGCCATAATCATTATTAGGGTATCTAGTTTAAAAAATTTGTCCGATGACCCCGCCTTCCAACCATCATGGCCAACTTGGATAAAAATAGAATATAGGGGTAAAATGCAGTTTTTGGTTTATATCTCTGAAACTAAAGCATTTAGAGCAAATCTGACAGGTGGCAAAAATGTTCATCAGATTTAGATTTATCTGCCCTGAAATTTTCAGACGAATCTGACAACCCGCTGTTGGGTTGCTGCCCCTGAGTTAGTAATTAAGTCTCCCAAACAAAGTTTGGGAAGACTTATTGTTTTTGCTCTCAGTTCTTATTATTCTTCTTCTTCTTCTTCTTCCTCTTCCTCTTCCGCTGCTTTTAAATTTGAACTTGTCTGAACCCGTTCTCCAAAACCGCTTGTCAGATTAACTTAGGGTTTCACAATATGTTAGACTAACATGTCTAGTGGTGCAATCAGGGTTTTGTTTGTGCAATGGGGTTTATAAAGGGGTACTTTGAGGGGCAAAAAGAAAAGAGGGTTTTACTATAGAACCCTATGGGATTTTATTTTTAAAAATTTTCAAATGATTATAAATTGAAAACCATTTGTGATAGACACAATCTTTTTAATTGAAAATGTTCTAAATGATAAAGCCCATTGAATGAAAAACAGGGTTAGTCCCCAGGGGTCACCCCCACCCCATGCCATTTAAGAAAGTTCTAATACCTTGTAGGTGGTCAAGATCCCCACCCCTAAACCATATATATTTTGGTTTGTCATGCTAAGATGGTTTGAATGATATACAGGGTTAGTCCCCAGGGGTCATCCTGACCCCCTGCCATTTGAGAAAGTTCTAATATCTTATAAATGGTAGAGATCCCCACCCCTAAACCATATATATTCTGGTTTGTCATGATAAAGCACATCAAATGAAATACAGGGTTAGTCCCCAGGGGTCACCCCCACCCCATGCCATTTAAGAAAGTTCTAATATCTTGTAAATGGTTGAGATCCCCACCCCTAAACCATATATATTCTGGTTTGTCATGCTAAGATGGTTTGAATGAAATACAGGGTTAGTCCCCAGGGGTCATCCTGACCCCCTGCCATTTGAGAAAGTTCTAATATCTTGTAAATGGTTGAGATCCCCACCCCTAAACCATATATATTCTGGTTTGTCATGATAAAGCACATCAAATGTAATACAGGGTTAGTCCCCAGGGGTCACCCCCACCCCCTGCCATTTGAGAAAGTTCTAATATCTTGTAAATGGTCGAGATCCCCACCCCTAAACCATAAATATTCTGGTTTGTCATGATAAAGCACATCAAATGAAATACAGGGTTAGTCCTCAGGGGTCACCCCCCACCCCCTGCCATTTAAGAAAGTTCTATATCTTGTAAGTGGCCAAGATCCCCACCCCTAAACCATATATATTCTGGTTTGTCATGCTAAGATGGTTTGAATGAAATACAGGGTTAGTCCCCAGGGGTCATCCTGACCCCCTGCCATTTGAGAAAGTTCTAATATCTTGTAAATGGTTGAGATCCCCACCCCTAAACCATATATATTCTGGTTTGTCATGATAAAGCACATCAAATGAAATATAAGGTTAGTCCCCAGGGGTCACCCCCACCCCCCTGCCATTTAAGAAAGTTCTAATATCTTGTAAGTGGTCAAGATCCCCACCCCTAAACCATATCTATTTTTGTTTGTCATGCTTAGATGGTTTGAATGATATACAGGGTTAGTCCCCAGGGGTCATCCCTACCCCCTGCCATTTGAGAAAGTTCTTATATCTTGTAAATGGTTGAAATCCCCACCCCTAAACCATATATATTCTGGTTTGTCATGATAAAGCACATCAAATGTAATACAGGGTTAGTCCCCAGGGGTCACCCCCACCCCCTGCCATTTGAGAAAGTTCTAATATCTTGTAAATGGTCAAGATCCCCACCCCTAAACCATATATATTCTGGTTTGTCATGATAAAGCACATCAAATGAAATACAGGGTTAGTCCTAAGGGGTCACCCCCCACCCCCTGCCATTTAAGAAAGTTCTATATCTTGTAAGTGGCCAAGATCCCCACCCCTAAACCATATATAGTCTGGTTTGTCATGCGAAGATGGTTTGAATGATATACAGGGTTAGTCCCCAGGGGTCATCCCGACCCCCTGCCATTTGAGAAAGTTCTGATATCTTGTAAATGGTTGAGATCCCCACCCCTAAACCATATTTATTCCTATTTGTCATGTCTCGAACATTTGAATGACGTATACGGTCAGTCCCCAGGGGTTCCCCCCACCCCCAATGTTCTGATATCTTATAAATGGTTGAGATCCCCACCCCTAAACCATATATATTCCTGTTCGTCATGTAATGAACATTTGAATGACGTATAGGGTCAGTCCCCAGGGGTTCCCCCCACCCCCAATGTTCTAGTATCTTGTAAATGGTCGAGATCCCCACCCCTAAACCATATATATTCTGGTTTGTCATGCCAAGATGATTTGAATGATATACAAGGTTAGTCCCCAGGCATCACTAGTGCATATAAAATTACTGGACCAAACCAATTTTCACTGGAGGTTGCCCAATGTCAGGCGATCCTGGGAATTACGAATTATGGGAGCTTCGTTTGGGAGACTTCGTAACAGAAACCTGTTACAATCATTTCTTGTTTTACAAAAATTTTGCAGTTTTTTGTTATTATCTTAGATATCATTATAATATCTAATATCTAATACTATTAATTATGATTTTAACCTTATTTTACATGATTTCCAAAGCATCAGTAAATACAGGTGAGCGACACAGGCTCTTGAGAGCCTCTAGTTTTTCATTTTTACCTATTATCTTGAAAACTATAATAGATAGAAAGAAACTTTAAGTTGCAAAAATGATCAGTAAGACAAGATGTAGGAATAAGTTTGCCTAGTGGAAATCGTCAGTCGACTCCTTATTTTAGTTATTGCCCTTTGATGACAATTTTTGCCTAATGTCTTAAAAACTGTAATAGATAGATAGAAACTTAAATTATCAAAAATGATCTGCAAGACAAGATCTACATTTAAGATAATATGGAGGAAATTTTCTGATGACTCCTTATTAGAGTTGTTGCCCTTTAATGATGATTTTTACCATTTTTTTGGCATTTTGCCTTATATGATAAAAATTATAATAGATAAATAAAAACTTTAAATAACAAAACTGATCAGCAAGGCAAGATCCACAAACAAGTAAAATTTTGCCAATATAGTTAGTAGACTGTCACTCTTCAGAGGAGTGACTGCCCTTAAATGAGGATTTTTTTTTTTTACCCTCATTTGTGTTTTGCGCAAAAACTAAAGAAAATAAAGAGAAACTAAACAGACAAAATGATCAGCAATACAAGATCAACAAAAAAGAGATTTTTGTCATGTCTACAATGTTGCAGAGAGTCCATTGTTGAATATGCATAGACCTAGGTGAGCGACATAGGCTCTAAAAAGCCTCTAGTTTAGGCATTGGGACTGGTAAAAATATCCCATATGAATTACACAAGGTTATATGCCTTTCTTCTGGAAAAAATTATTAATAGATATAGATCATTTAACCTTAATTTTGCTATGATAAATTGGTCAGTTGTCAAATCTGAATTGTGACCTTACAAAGAATATGGACTGATTCCTGATACTACAGCCTCAGAAACTGAAATATGATGTATTAATCACCAACTATCCATACATACAGAGGTTGCCTAATGGTACTGGTTTGTTTTTAATGGTATAGTTTTTTAACTCAACTTAAAAGTATCAGATTGTCAAGTCTTCTCCTACTTTCTTGAAGTATAAATATGTTTAAAGAGAGAAACAGTTTATTTGCAGTGTTTTGTATCTATATTAGGTCCAAGAAAAGATGTCAAAAGAGCTATAAAAGTGGACCCAAGACCATGTAATGTGTGTAGTACAACAGGTACATGTAGATTTTATTCAGAGAAGAAATACTTCCAATAAAATAAGGAAATGAAGTGTAAAGTACAATGCTAAAGGCTCTTTTAATCCCTATACATTATATTTGGTAGACCATTCAGGGCTCACACTACTTCAGAATCATAGGGAGAAGTGACTTCTCTTTTTGAAACTGAGAGGGCACTACAATGTTTGGTTTTTACTTTATAATACAAAGGGCCATATGTATCTTTTTTTTTTATATTGTTCAATTTGTACCTGGTTATACAATTAAGGTAACCATGGTAACAGTTCAAATTCAAAGTTGTTTAATTTTATCATATCTAGTTGCACAATCATATTAGTCCTCTTGTCAGTAAAAAACAAATAAATAAAAAAGATTTTTTTTATATCAAAAAGGAGAAGAAAGTTGTTTTATCAATTAAAATTCAATTAAAAACCTCTCTGTTATCATGTTTATGAAATTAAGTAATCTCATTAAAAAGATATATAAATTTAACAGTTTTATTAAACACAGTTAAGCTTGGACATAATATAATTATATTAGGCCAAAATTAAAATTAAGTTTGTTTCCCCTTACCCGACCGACCCTCTAAAAATCCGCCGACTGAAATATTTTTTTTCAAAAATCACGTTGTTTTTTGTTTTTTTTCGTTTCGCTCAAAAGTTCGTTTTTTTAATTTCGTTTCCTTGAATGGTCCGTATTTTCAACATTCCGCGAAATCATTGTCGCCCGTGTGTTTGCAGCAAAGGGTAAACAATGTATGCAAGGATACTGAAATTGGAATGGAATAATGTTTTAAATAAATGCATCCGAGCAATCTTAACTACTCTTCCATTCTAGCTACGCCTCCAATAACAAAATGCGTAGCGAGAATGGCTGAGTAGTTACGATTGCGCATCCGAGCTCACCCTTGAGCTTAAATGTTAGGCCTGGTGTTTCTGCCGTGTTTGTGGTAAATCCCTGAGTTTGCCTTTATCAGTGGTTGACTCAATAAGTTGTATATTGGCGTGCTATTTATGCTATTTTGTTTCATTTCGTATGTGATATTGGACCATACACTAGTTGTCTTTGGATAAAATAGTAGTTGATTTTTTTCGAGCTCAGTATCATATTGTGTTGTGAAAAGTCGAGATGACTATACCAGCTAATGCTTTGATAAAAGTTCTTGTAAGTTCTTATGTCTTTTATAAGCTATAATGGGCTGCAGTCTTCACGCTAAACCACAGGCCCAGCAGCCCAGGCTTGTAAAATTGCTCTTGGGCCTGTAATATCATATATACGGGCCAACAGAATCTAACTAAAATTTTCAAAAAATTGAGCTGCGGGCCTGTAGATTTCAAAGTTCATCGTGAAGACTGGGGCTGATGATTAAATATGGTCACACATTCAGGGTTTTGTGAAATAAGATGCCAGTGTTTATTATATTTTTAGTTTCTGTATAGATGGTTTGAATTTTGTTAACATTACTAGCGGTTGCTCCCATTTCACTGGGCGATGTTTTAGCAAGTTTTCCCTTTCTGTATTTTGTGTTTGATAAAAAAAATGGTTGATTTCAGATATTTGATATCCTCGTTTGAGCTTCTTACTGTTTTTTAAGATCAGTTTTGCTGCTTGTGTTTCTGAGATACCTCAATACTTCACCCTTGATAAATCCTTTCAATGAAAACACTTTTTGGGTGTGAGCAGTGTCTGTGCAGATATTGATATGTTTCAGTTGGTTTGATATTGGTTTTAATGTCTTGTATCATACTATGCCTTTGTTAAAGAATCTTTCTCCTTTGTATAATTATGACAGTGTCTAAGAATATTGTTTCATTACAGGAAAATTCGTAGGTGAACTTCAACTATCATTATCATTTTGTTTCTCTGTGTTGAAAGCGTTGTAAAATGTGTTCAAGAATTAACAAACATTGTAAGGTCTGCTAACTCAGCGAATACTGATCTGCACATAGACACGCCCAAGGTTTCATGGTAAAGTTTATTGTTAAAAATAAATTCATAGTTTTGTAGAATAAGCCTTAATAGGCGTAGTCATACTCGCTTGGATCACAGTTTGTGGCTTCTAGTATTTCCTTAAATGAAAAACAAGTGTACATATTTTTTGCATCGAATGTTACTAGGTAGCAGTCTCGTTGGGGTTTTATATTTTCAATTGAATTAATAAAACTATAAGAAAAATATAGAACCGTGTCTCAATTTATATGTGGTCTACTCTAAGTCACAAAGACATTGATATTTACAAACATTTTCTAGTCTGAAATTGTAAGGTCTTCTAGTCATGCATATTACGTTATACAGTATGTTGTTTAAGTATCAATAAAGTTCAATTTGTTGTTTTTCTGTGTTTTCCTGTGTGTTAGAAATATTTCAGGGATTTTCTCTAAAAAAAAAAAAAAAAGCCTACCTACCTACCCACTTCCAAAATGGTGGGTAGGGTAAGGGGAAACAAAGATATTTTTAATTGCGGCCTTAGTGTAATAGTCCCAGAGTTGAGCAACTTTAATTTATAAATTGAAACAATGCATATACATGGAAATATATGCATTAATCAAGTAGATCTAACCAAAAGTATGTTAATGCTTGTGGAATGCGTAATTTTTCCTTTTGGGATCAATTTTCTCTGTCAGCTGTGCCATTCATGCGTCCATAGTCATTATCGCAAGAATCCGGATTTTCGATGAAATCCTGACTCCAATCCGTAGTTGTACAATAATTTGCCCAATAATTTCAATGGCGGACGAAGAAAATTTACAAAAAATAAATGAAGTTTGACATGCTATTTGGAAGGGAATATGACGTTTTCAATGCAATATAAGGATAACAAATTTACTTCAGGCAAATTTCATCACGTTCTAATGAAGTGTTACAAACTTTTTTTGCCGAAAGTTAGAATGATTTGATGTATGCTCTCGAGTAACAAGTACCGGAAATGATAAAAAATTTGTCTTTATGAAAATAACATGCAACCAACTTTAAAATCAATGCTTTAACCTCTTTTCTTAAGAAAATAAATCGTTTATGTCTTTGAATTTCTTTACTTTTAAATGAAAAATTGCTGTTTCATCAACTTGGTAAAAGTTGAATATTGCCGATGACGAAAGGGACTGAAAGCGAGTATGGTGAACAACAGGGCGACTAGATTTCACTTCTGACGGTCAGGCAAAGCGAAGTGACGGACAGGAAAGCGACTTTGTTGCCCCAGTTGCCTGCAAGCATGAGCCCTGCCATTATTTGGTTCACTTATACTTGGTCTTTTTGTTGTTGTTTTCTATTGTAACATTTTTCAATAGACACAAAGACAACCATGCTTGACAACAATAACTTCTGCTAGTGTAACATTCAAAATTTCAATTCCATGTGAAATGTATTCAAATTTATATTGTGGCATACTATTTCAAAGAGAGGCAAAAGATACCAAAGGGACATTCAAACTCATAAGTCGAAAATAAACTGACAATGCCATGACAAAAAAAGACCAAAAGACAAACAACAGCACACAAAACACAACATAGAAAACCAAAACAAGTGTCTTTTATTAAGGATGATTGGTGTTGTGATAAGGGTTAATCGTAGGTATCATAGATATCTTTTAAAATTGACCAGCATAATGAATTAAAGACCAAACAGCCTATTGTTGATGCGCATCAACTAACGCAACTTGGTAGTGACATAAAAGCTCTATGACGTTGTTTCTAGCCATGAAAAAAAACGTCAAATTATAACGTCCTATTTCGCGTTTTTCACGGATTCCAACATGGTGTACGCTGAAAACTACGTCTTCCAAGAAAAGTGGAATTAAGCGTCGCACTGTTACCTAGTGGAAATTAAACACAAATGGACACAAAAGATACTACACTATCTGTAACCTCCATTCTAATAAAAATAATAATAAAAATATAAATTTTGAACTCGGCTTTTTGCATTTGCGCCGATCTTCATTTCACTTTTTTTCTTTCACTTGCGCCGATTTTGTCTTTCATTTGCGCCGATTGTGTACAGGTAAATTATAGGTGAAAGTTATTTTTTTATCTATCAAATAAACCTCTTCCATTAGCCAGTTGTACATATGTTATGCCGAATTGTCAATTATAACATGTATATAACTGTTGTCCCCTGCTCACAAAGGGGAGGTGGGAGTGGAATTTCGAGCAGGATAAGTCAATTTAAAAGATATTTGTGCACTCTGTTTACATCCACTAAAATCACGGAGTAAAATTCTATTTACAGCATTTCAAAGCACCACAATAAAATCCATTAAAATGTAATACTAGTACAATGAATTATTATCTTGCCGAGAATTTATATGCCACACATCTGATATATTCCTTTCTTGTCATTTTATCTTTTCTATACTTGTTGTACTTGCCAATAACGAAGTCCATCTTTTCTTTCTCGTGTCAAAACGAAGTTCTCGAACAATATGACCAAAATTATCTTAAACATAAGGGAACACTATTTATATCCATACATTACCATGCAATATACATTCTAGGTTTGCTACATATACATTATTTACTCGCATAGCAAATAAAGTATCGGGGCTAGTGATAAAAAAAAGAAAATAGGCGCTAATGAAAGAATCAAATCGGCGCAAATTAAAGATCGAAATTTTTTTTAAATCGGCGCAAATCATGTACGCCCGTGTAACTTTACACTGGTAAATTTATATGACTTACGCTTAGAATTTTAACTTAATATGTGATTTTCAAAACTGAGTTTTCAGAAGGTAATGGCCGATAAACAATACTTTCTAGGAATTTCGATATACTGGCAACGTATGCATGTTGAGATTAACTTATTTCTTTAAGATTCTCGTAAAATAATGGTGATCTTGCAATGAAGTTAAATTTTATCTATACTGCTTAATTGACAAAATATTATAGTAAAAATAAAAATGATAAAGGTTCATTGTCTTTTGTCATTTGTTTCATTTCAAATTGTCTCAAGGAGAAATGATAAAGATTTCGCCTGATCTCACAGAAGCTTAAGGCAAAAAATATAAGAAATTAATATACTCAGTGAATGTGAATTAAAATAAAAATTTACGGTTTTGAAAACTAAACTTGTTGTAAATTTAACTTATGACAAAAAACAATTGCTTCAAGAATAAAATCCAACATAAAATTTCTCACTTTCAAAAAGCTACAATGACCGGAAAGATTGAAAACAAATTTCGATTTTCAATGCCGACAATCTATACATACCACCTTGTCGTTGTTTTAATTTCCAAAATGAGCTATTTAGATTCATAATATTTCATCCTGTTTTGAGAAATACTGTATAGTTTTCAACGGAAAATTATTTCTTAGATTCTAAACCAATTTTTGAATTAAAAACTTATTTGTATTTTATATTTACTGTCTCGTTTATTCAAAACACGTGAGGTAGTAACAACGGGGATCGTATTTTATGATAGGTTAAATTGATGTAAAACGTTTTAGAATCAAAAACTTCAATTCACATATTATACCTATAATTTTAATTTTCTTATATTTTAAATATTCAGAAATAATGAATCCACAAACTAGATGGAATAATTTGTATACACTCGTCTTAGTCGGGACACATAATGGTATAAAGAAGTCCGTCCGTGCTAATGTCTGTCCGTCTGTCAACAGTAGCGAAAGAGTGCGCTAGGGCGAAGTTCTGAAATTGACGTGACAAAAAAACCCACACATCTAGTCTAATATAGTCAAATAGTCTGTAAGTTAGCCAGTATCATCTTTCATTTCTCTTTTTATTAAGTCTCCCAAACGAAGTTTGGGAAGACTTATTGTTTTTGCTCAGTTCTTATTATTATTATTATTCTTCTTCTTCTTCTTCTTCTTCTTCTTCTTCTTCTTCCGCCGCTTTTAAATTTGAACTTGTCCGCACCCGTTCTCCAAAACCGCTTGTCGGATTAACTTAGGGTTTCACAATATGTTAGACTAACATGTCTAGTGGTGCAATCAGGGTTTTGTTTTTGCAATGGGGTTTATAAAGGGGTACTTTGAGGGGCAAAAAGAAAAGAGGGTTTTACTATAGAACCCTATGGGATTTTATTTTTTAAAATTTTCAAATGATTATAAATTGAAAACCGTTCCTGATAGACACAAACTTTTTAATTGAAAATGTTCTAAATGATAAAGCCCATTAAATGAAATACAGGGTTAGTCCCCAGGGGTCACCCCCACCCCCTGCCATTTAAGAAAGTTCTAATACCTTGTAAGTGGTCAAGATCCCCACCCCTAAACCATATATATTCTGGTTTGTCATGCTAAGATGGTTTGAATGATATACAGGGTTAGTCCCCAGGGGTCATCCCCACCCCCTGTCATTTGAGAAAGTTCTAATATCTTGTAAATGGTTGAGATCCCCACCCCTAAACCATATATATTCTGGTTTGTCATGCTAAGATGGTTTGAATGATATACAGGGTTAGTCCCCAGGGGTCATCCCCACCCCCTGTCATTTGAGAAAGTTCTAATATCTTGTAAATGGTCGAGATCCCCACCCCTAAACCATATATATTCTGGTTTGTCATGATAAAGCACATCAAATGAAATACAGGGTTAGTCCCCAGGGGTTACCCCCACCCCCTGCCATTTAAGAAAGTTCTTATATCTTGAAAGTGGTCAAGATCCCCACCCCTAAACCATATATATTCTGGTTTGTCATGTTGAGATGGTTTGAATGATATACAGGGTAAGTCCCCAGGGGTCACCCCCACCCCCTGCCATTTAAGAAAGTTCTAATATCTTGTAAATGGTCGAGATCCCCACCCCTAAACCATATATATTCTGGTTTGTCATGTTGAGATGGTTTGAATGATATACAGGGTAAGTCCCCAGGGGTCATCCCGACCCCCTGCCATTTGAGAAAGTTCTAATATCTTGTAAATGGTCGAGATCCCCACCCCTAAACCATATATATTCCTATTTGTCATGTCTCGAACATTTGAATGACGTATACGGTCAGTCCCCAGGGGTTCCCCCCACCCCCAATGTTCTAATATCTTGTAAATGGTTGAGATCGCCACCCCTAAACCATATATATTCCTGTTCGTCATGTAATGAACATTTGAATGACGTATAGGGCCAGTCCCCAGGGGTTCCTCCCCACCCCCAATATTCTAGTATCTTGTAAATGGTTGAGATCCCCACCCCTAAACCATATATATTCTGGTTTGTCATGCCAAGATGATTTGAATGATATACAAGGTTAGTCCCCAGGCATCACTAATGCATATAACTTTACTGGACCAAACCAATTTTCACTGGACATTGCCCAATGTCAAGCGACCCTGGGAATTACGAATTATGGGAGCTTCGTTTGGGAGACTTCGTAACAGCATCCTGTTACAATCATTTCTTGTTTTTCAATGATTTTGCTAATGAGAGGGAGAGGACAAAAACAGACTTTCCTTTCTAAAGCGTCGTAAAAGATTATTTCGAACAATTTTTCTTTCCGACGGATGGTGTTTCTGAAGGTTAATTTTGTGCGGCAACAACATCATGGATCTGATACTGATACATAAATGTGATCTCTTGTATTACCGGATAATAAAGTAGGTGAATATAGTTGTTTTTCTTGATTCTTGAAAATTTAAATGTGGGTTTCAAACGTCCAATTTGCAATTTTTTTCAAACAGTACGCCAGCAAGGAAAACTTGTACTATGACGTCAGATTCGATGTTCTGAAGAAAGACAACTCTTTTCTTCAAAACGAACGAGAAAAAAAAACATGAAAATTAATCATAACTTTTTTGAAAGGTCGGTGACATATACATTTTTTTGCTTTATTTTGAAGAGTACACATGGCACTTTCCTTCTTGAAATTTTTATGAAAAAATCACTGGTAGATATTTTTTAATACTTGAAACATTTTTCATTCTTGCGTTTTATTTTTGGCGGGAATGAAATAAATCATATTTTTTAAGATCAAAACAATAAGAGTCTTAAACTCTTGAACCTGTATTTGATAGACACAAATCTACTATTTAACATGAAACAAGAATTATGCTTGTAGGTTTGATATAATGGGATTTTTTGAGAGTTTAAATAACAAGCAAATATCATGTTAATATTCGGGAAAACACGAAACTGAGGTTGCTATAGTGACAAAACTAAGTCGGTGACCCCCAATTTTTTTTATCATATTTTGTTCTTCAAATCACGAAATACCTTCACACAAAATATTAAGGAAAAATCACTGGTAGAACTGAATAGGCTGTTTGGTCTTTAAATGATGGTATCATTTTCTTAGAAAACTGAAATGTGTATTACTTAAAAGGACTTTAAACTTGCAAAAAAGTAAAGCTACTATTGTTTATGAAGTTGTCAAAGAAATTTTAATGAACTAAACTAGAAATTCATTATGAACAATATATACTGACCAAAATCTACACAAGAGTTAAATTTGTATGTTACATTCAGGTAGCTTCCAGTGCAGTAGATGTAAGACTCCATACTGTAGTGAAGAATGTCAGAGGTGTGACTGGGAAAGACATAGACAGTTTTGTCAAGATCTTAGGTACTTTTTATTATATACATATTTATGAATGCTGTATATATCATGATACGCTGATGATCTTTTCCCCCCACAATATTGCTTTTAAACAAAAAGGCTAAATTATGTCTCAGGAATATAGATGTTTAGATTTCATATCATGAATTTTCATTATTCTCATTAAGTCTTGGCACAAAATTTAAACAATTTTTATGTCAATATTTAATGTGTTGCTATCCATCTTTACTGACATGACCTTGACTTTTGACCTCAAGGTCAAATACATTTTTATATACAATGTATATACAAACATGTCCTATCTGGAATTATTGTTTTGACATGGACAAGATATTTAGTATGTGGTTGTATTCTAATATGATGTATTACTAACATACCATCAACGGTGACATTTGACCATAAGTGCAAAGTGAATGAAGCATGCAAAATATATACAGTGATGGGTGTGTTTGTTTGTCTATTAAGTTGCATATCCTTATTTTGTATTTAAAATTCTTTTTAAAGGGTGAATGGATTTCATTGAAACTTTCAGGAATCTTAAGTTTCCAGCAGTTGGGCCAGTCATATGATAATGCAGAGAACTATGTTGGCTTGGGTTTTCTTTTTTTCTTGTTTTAAGTCCTGCCTACAATAGTAATAATATAAATAATACAGATTTCATGGTTTGCTGATCATGGAATTGTGATGGTGTGAGTGGGCATAGTTTACTATGAATACATATTCTTTCTTTGTTGGTTTTTTTTTTACAATTGAATGTGACTTAACTTTGAAAATTTTGTATTTTTCAGGAAAGAGAATGAATTTGCTTCAAAATTTGAGGACCAGTTTGAAATCTCTGTTGGAGAAGAAATTGTAGAGGTATTATCATTTATGTCTTTCTCTTTCATCATTAGAGACATCAGCAATTTGATTCATTAAGTTTTCAGATTATATCAATTTATAAAACATCACTTTCATTCAGTCAGTGATATTCAATATGATGTTGCATAAGCAATACAAATACAGTCAATTCCACTTGATTGCGTAATTTGTTATTTGCTGAACTTTCTCCTGCTCAAAACCATTTCCTGATCATTTGCATTGCCTGGTAAGTGGTCTTTAGGTTTATTGCATAGAAAAAAATGGACCTTGAGATATGCTAATATAAAATTTTGCACCTGTTAATTTTTTACTGGAAAACCTAGAAGCCCATTTGCTACTTTGCATATGGAAACTACTGTAAATTCGGAAATTATTGGGTGCATTTATTATTGCGATTTCAGGAAAAATAGGCATTCAGATATATGTAGCTAATTCAGAATGCGAGTTATTATTGCAAAAACACCCAGTCAGTCGCATTATTCTCAATAATGAAAACCTTTCAATAATTTCTGAATTTACAGTTTATAGAGGTCAATGATACAGTTTTGCTCACTGAAAAATATACACAGTAAATGAAGGATGTTAAAAGCACAGAAGTACATTTTTATTACCATAAAGATAATTTACACTTTAGAATTATTTTTGTGGAGACATAGTCTTCATAAAAAAAGAGGTACCATTTCATTTTGAATATGTGTCACAGAAAACAGTCTATTTAAAGATCATCAGCCAGTGCTATTTTAATATTTCATCAGTAAAGGAAATGACAATGCACAACAATATTTATAATCTTTCTTTAAAGAGTTTTAACACTAAACAACAACATCAGACATGTATAGTTTATTGGACATTCAACAATGTACATGTGGATCCCAGCTCCTCTTCTTACTTCACTTTAACTTCCCATCTGGTATAACTCCCAATCAAACTTTGTTAAATTACATGACTTTTCTGGAAAAGAGAGGCGAAAGATTCATAAGGGACATTCAAACTCATAAGTCGAATAACTGACAACACCAAAGCAAAATAAGGAAAAAGACCAAAAGACAAACAACAGTACAGAAAACTCAACATAGGAAACTAAAGACTAAGCAACACGAACCCCACCAAAAACCAGGGGTGATCTCAGATGCTGTGGAAGGGTAAGCAGATTGATTGTGTCCGTAAAATTTACAAAGGGATGATTTCAACTTCACTATTTGGAACTCTTGGCTTAATAGATTCCTTGTGAACAACAACCCTCTATCAAGGAAAGTAGGCTATGCAAATAACCAAAATCCACTATAGTACACTTTATTTCCATTTCGATTATTTAACCCCAGAGATTGTGATTAGGTCTATAGTAGAAAGTACTCAAGATCGATGCTTGGTATTAGACAGTTACCATGATGTGTAGAACCCTTAGCTTGTTCAAGAAAACCAGTTTACAGCTTTAAACTTTATTTCCTCTTTTTTTATGCAAGGAAATATTCATAATGGATTTCAACAAAATATATGGTTTTAAAAGTGAATTTCTATTCATTTTGTATGATATAAAATCATATATTTCATTACAGCAAATGAAGACAAAATTAGAACAAAGTACAGGTGGCAAAGTGGACTACAAGACAAAAACAGATTCACAGAAGTCACCAATCAAGCAGCATGGACAGAAAAGTCCTAAATCTTCAGATGGTTGTTTCAGAAATATAATTTTTTAACTTAGGCTTATAGAATATTATGCATAAATGTTTCTTTTGCTTAATAAGATATATATATATAAGGAGATGTGTGTTATATGTTATGAAGACAGCAACCAAACAAAACAAACCTTAGAGACATTTAACCCCCCAAAAAAATGAAAAACTAATTCTACATGTTGCAAACATGCATCATGATGTGTGACTCAGATCAAAAATGGCTGCAACTATTTCTTGGAAGGAGAAAAATTTCAAAAATGATTCTTATAGTCATACATAGGAAGAATTACAACCAAATTACCATACAAATAATGTATTAATTATTCTCTTTGAGAACTATTGCTTATCAACACAACAACTTTAAAATTGCTATCATTCATACTACTAACATAGAATTTGACAAAGCTTTAAAAAAATAGATACCGTAATTAAAAACCTGCAAAACTTAAGGAATATATGTATTTTCAGCTTTAAGAATTATTGCTTATTGTGAACGCAACTCCTCTGAGACCATTTCTCATTATTGGTAGAATAGTTTGCCTTCATGTGTAGTTGACCATTTCATATTGTCATTTTGATCCAAATATTTTTCTTGAAGTTGTGGGACTTTAACCACCTTTTGACTCTTGTACCACAATGACACATAATTCCTTAATTATACAGCTCACAGGGAATTTCGCTATGGAGTAGCCATCTTTGTTTAATCAACCATGCTTGTTGGCACAAAATACTGCAAAAATAGATATATAATTGGATCTCTTATAAAAATTATGTTGAAACGCACTCTTATGATTATTGCCGTGACAAAAAAGGCCAAAGTTTTGCATAGAATTCAGGAGAGAGATATTAGATCCTGGAGTCGTACTGTCTTGTCTGACATTTCTTTTATATTATCTAACAGCATACATATTTATATAGGTGGAAAACAGACAATGTCAAAGTCCCCACTGAAACAGCAATCAAAAATGAGTCCAAGAACAGGAGGACCAGTGAGTCCAGCACCTAGAAAAGATAGTCCAAAGAAGAGTCCACCAAAGTCAGAAGCTCTAAAGCAGGATATTAGCTACTGCACCCTACCACTTAATTCAGAAGTTGAGGCAAGTGTTAAAAAACGCTTTGTGTAAATAACACAACTTTTTATGCAAATATTGAGATGAACAATTTCCACATAAATAGGTGAATGCAATTAAGAGATAACCATATATAATACTGTCGCAAATTGAGTTTACCTAGTGTAGTTGAGCTGGTAAACGGATATTTGCGACAGTAAAACCAAGTGTTACATAGGCCAAGCTTCAAATACAATACTGTATCTCTATTCTAATGCAAAATAAAACTAATTACTCCATTTCAGTCATTATTTCGGTGTCAAATTTCATAAAACAAAAATTCCTCGAAGTGATATTATTGGCAACTTAACAAGGAGACCTCATATGTATGCTTCCGGCGTCAAATGTAAACACACAGCATTTTAAGGCTTCTTGTATGCCATAAAATTAGATAATAAGAACATTATTTTTTTATATTTTAGTTTTTAAAATTTATTATTGAATAACATGTTTATACATTCCAGAAATTAATATGTCGACTTCCCTTAGCTACAGACAGGTAGATAGAGGATTTTACACTTGTTGTTGTCCAATCAGAACCATTGATACAAAAGGATTGCATTAGAATACATATTACTGTCAAATTGTAAGGTTTAGGCCTACAGCTTTCCTTTAGAGAAAATTATAGTTGAATGGCTGAAAAACAAATCTTGGGACATTACACATCAATTCAACCATTCAGAAAGTGAATGTCCACAGTAAATCTGAAGCTGTGATAAGCATAAGTCAATTACTTGAATTGTGGTGGTTTGATGATACCAGAAAGTTATACAGGTAGTTAAACATGGTTTATACATGATTTTATAGGTTTTACTGGCGGACAACACATCACCAGACCACTTTGCAGTACAATTTCACGACGCAGAGATATTAGAAGCTACAGACGAACTGTTGAAAAGAATGAATGATGTAAGTCGTAATATATTGATGCACTTTTCAGTAAAATTGGGAAAATATTTGTTAAAAACTTATAAAAGAAAAAACTGTCTTAGTTACAGCAAATATATTTAAGTATATAATTGAAAATCAAGATTTAAGGTAAAAGTTGCTTTTTAGCTGAAAATGAAATCATTTTTGTCTCACCGTCGCAGTGTGCGAGACATAGGTAGTACTATCCGGCGATTAAAAAAATAGAACTTTATTCATAACATTCAGAAATGTTTTCACGAGTCAAACAGGTGCTTCCTTTACGATGAACTGCGCATGCACGAAAGTATTCTTATGAATTTAAAGACACTAAAACGTAAAATACGAAATAATTAAGTATCAAACTAAACGAGAGAGACAAATATAGTTCTTATTAAGCAAATTTAATTTAAAAAATGATAATTTCCTGCCTTTTTAAAACACGAACCAATCCGTAGATGAATCCAGATTCATTCTGAATTTATTATCCACTTGTCACTTCCCGTTTTCATTTCATTTGGAAATCGAAAGTAAACGTGATTACAATTACAATTTAAAGTCATTAGAGTTGTTCCAATAAGGATTTGTACAAATCTTTGGTTCCAACTTACTAGAATTAATTCTAAATATCGCTTTAAAACGTTTTTAAGGATAATGAGTATGAATAATGTAGTGAAATAGTCCTTACAAGTTCATTTATGCTGTGATTCCTGGTTTTAAAAAAAATGGATCCCAACTTTTGTTGATTAGGAATATACCCTGAAACTAACTGAAGTAAAATTGTAAACTAGATTTCTAGATCTTATATCCTAATCTTCGTATTAATGTGCCACATCAGTCAAATCATGCAGTAACTGCCTAGTATGCCTAAGTCCTTCAAAGTCTTACAAAGATGTAAAGATAGTAATATACATCCTCGGTCTCTTGCTGCTACCCAAAATAAGGTTTATTTTCATCCCGCGCAAAAGTGACTAAAGCCCTCAAAATCCTAGCTTAAACCCTGTTTGTATAAAGCTTTATATTTCAGAAGGTAGAAGACCTGAATGCTTCATACCTTGTATGCAGATACCTTATGTTACGAAGTTTCCGTCTGTCATATGCCCATTGTACTTGACCTCATTTTCATGGTTCAGTGACTGCTTGAAAAAAAATACAGTTTTTTTTGTCATGTGAATTTCACACTTATTATGAGTAATAGGATAACTATATTGGGTATATGAGTTCCTTGCAGTGTCTAAATGTCCGTCAGACAGGGTTAACCTGACCTCGACCTCAATTCATGGATCAGTGATCAAGGTTAAAGTTACGTGATTAGGTCTGTTTCTCAGATACTACAAGCAGCAGGTCAACTATATGTGGTGTATGGAATAATTGTAAGGGGTACATGTCAGACTGGCAGGTTTCATCTGACCTTTACCTCATTTTCATGGTTCATTGGTCAATGTTAAGTTTTTGTATTTTGGTCTGTTTTTCAAATACTTATATCAATAGGTCAACTATAATTGGTGTATGGAGTGATTGTTAGGTGAACATGTCTGTCTAGCCAGTTTTGGTCTGTTTTTGTCGAGCCTTTGACTTTTGTCGCAGAAATCTTGACATAGGTATAGTGATCCGGTGGCGGCGGCATTAACTAACTTCTTAAAAGCTTAATATTTCAGAAGGTAGAAGACCTGGATGCTTCATACTTTGTATATAGATGACTTATGATATGAAGTTTCCGTCTGTCATATGTCCATTGTCCTTGACCTCATTTTCATGGTTCAGTGACTTCTTGAAAAAAAGTTCAGATTTTTTGTAATGTTAATTTCTCTCTTAATATGAGGAATAGGATAACTATATTTGGTATGTGCGTACCTTGCAAGGTCCTCATGCCTGTCAGATAGTTTTCACTTGACATCTACCTCATTGAACAAGGTTAAGTTTTCGTGGTCAAGTCCATATCTCAGATACTATAAGCAATAGGTCTACTATATTTGGTGTATGTAATGATTGTAAGGTGTACATGTCTAACTGGCAGGTGTCATCTGACCTTGACCTCATTTTCAAGGTTCATTGCTCAATTTTAAGTTTTTGTGTTTTGGTCTGTTTTTCTAATACTGTATGCAGTAGGTCAACTATATTTGGTGTATGGAAATATTTTACGATGTACATGTCAGTCTGGCAGGTTTTATTTGACCTTGACCTCATTTTCATGGTTCATTGCTTATGTTAAGTTTTTGTGTTTTGGTCTGTTTTTTTTAAACTTTAAGCAATAGGACAACTGTATTTGGTGTATGGCATGATTGTAAGGTGTATATGTCTGTCTGGCAGGTATCATCTGACCTTCACCTCATTTTCATGGTTCATTGATCAATGTTCAGTTTTCCTGGTTAACTTTGTGTCTTAGATACTATAAGCAATAGGTCAACTGTATTTGATGCATGGAATGATTTTAATGTGTACATATCTGTCTGGCAGGGTTCATCTGACCTTGACTTCATTTTCATGGTTCATTGGTCAATATAGAATTTCCATGATTTGGTCTGTTTCTTTTATACTATATGAAATAGGTCATCTATATTCTGTGTACGGAATCATTGTATTAAAGGTGTACATGTATTTCTGGCTGGGTTTATCTGACCTTGACCTCATTTTCTTGGATCATAAATGTTAATGTGATACTAGTAGTAAAACTTTATATGTAGGACTATCAACATAAAATCAATGATCAGTATAGTAGGCGAGACATTTCAGCGTGTGCACTCTTGTTCAATTACCATAAGCAATGGGTCAACTATATTTGGTGTATGGAATAATTGTAAGGTGTACATGTCTGTGTGACAGTTTTTATCTGACCTTGACCTCATTGTCATGGATCTTTAAAAATGTTAAGTTTATGTGATACTTGTAGTAAAACCTTTATCTTTAAGACTTTCAACATGAAATCAATGGTCAGTAAAACAGGCGAGACATTTCAGCGTGTGCACTCTTGTTAACTAAGGTACTACTTTCCTTGAGAGGCGTCAACTGTCTGGCAGAGAGCCAATAAAAAGAGTAGTATATATACACATTGTGAAAAGTTTTACAAGTTGGACTTTAAATATTTCCTATCTAAACAAGTAAATGTACATGTATGTCTAAAATTTGGAATAAAATATCTTAATAACAGCTGGTTATCTAATATTGCTACAAAAAAATCAAAGGAATACTTAATTTGAACAGAAAATGCATATTTAAGTCAACTTGTCCACAAACATTGGATCAACCCTTAATTATGTGCCTATGCACATAGGCAAAAAAAAAATTATGTGGGTTTCCAGGCTCCAGACTGACCTACCACAAGTGCTGAATTGGAGAAACAACCCTGTCAAATAAGAGCTTGATTAAGCTTTAACAAAGTAGATATATAATTTAAGCATGTTGCAGTTCTTTTATTCTTTTGCAAATTAATATCTGATAACTTACTTTGTTCAACATTCAACAGTTTTACAACACTGGTGGCGAGAAAGTACAGTCACCCAATATTGGGATGCTGTATGCAGCACAGTTTAGTGCAGATAACAACTGGTATAGGGCCAGAGTGGACTCTATCACTGGAGATTCTGTCGCTGTCACATATATTGATTATGGCAATACAGAAAACTTATTAGCAGAGAAACTTAGACTACTATCTATTGATATGACGAGTATGACGTCTGCAGTAAGTATACCATTCTCCCTCTTAGAGAAAGACTTAGGAACTTATGTTTTCTTTCTTTTGTCTGTACTGTCATTCCAAGAAATTGTCTCTTCAATAAAGTTTGTAATTCTACAAAATCACTTTTACAGTATAATTGCTGTCAGTGGCATCAGGAAATTGTTAAAGTTTGTGAAAAGTTCATTTAAAGGATAACCAACAATGTTCAGAGTATTTGGTATGCAGTTTTACTAGCACAAGCATATCTCATTTCCATGGAGATAATTTAGTTTTGTCATGTTTTGTATTCTTTGTCATGGTCCATTGACTTTGAAGTTTTGAATACTTATACTGTGGATTCATTTTTATTCGTGGTTTACCAATTTTCGTGGGTTTCGTGGGTCACAGCGAACCACGAATTTAAGAATTCAACGAAGAATAATCCCGAGAAATGTGTATGGAGTCGGATGTTTATTTCCGGTTATTATATGCAGTTCTAGTATAGTGTTGATTAGCGATAAACATTGTAACATAACACGTGTTTTTATTGAAAGAAGATACAAGTATTTTGATTAAATCAACAATTAATATAACGAATATCAGTGATAATTTACTTTTTAAAATTGATTAAAACTGTTCATGGAAAATAACTGTAAGTTGTTAATTACCGTGTCATAGTTTGGTTTACTGGTGATTAAAAATCAATAGGATTAAGTATGGGGTTATTGCCCGTAGGTAATATTGTTTATGACAGGAACATTTATTTTCACACCTTTTACTTATATGACTGTTTATTACATCATGATTAGGGAACTGAGCTTTCAATCATAGAATTTTGAATGCCTTATGAAATTCCGACAAGAATCTATAAATTGTAAAACAAACAAATAATTAGTTGTCTCTCTTTCCATTATTGTAATAGAAGTTTTCAATGAACACTTTAACCTAGAATGACCAAGCGAGGATTTTGACAATTCAAAACTTGTTCAATGAATTCCTTCCTTTTTGTTTGTTTTATTATTGATCAAACCAAGGAGGTTATATGATCTCCAAAATCAAAAAGAAATCCACGATTTACGTAGCTGATTTTTTTTTTGTAATCAGCGATCCACGAATTTACGTATACCACGAAACGTCTTTTTTTCTCTATCCACGAAAATTGATACCCACGAAAATAAATTGAATCCACAGTAATATGTTAAAAGTTTTGCCATGAATTTCTGCTTTTGCATCAAATTTACTAATAGATAAGACATAATTTATAACAAATTTCATAATTGATGTTATTTACTTTTTATGATATAGAATTTCCCTTAAACACAATTTGAAATATATTTCAACTGATTTACGTTTAAAAAATTGAGATTCTGACAACTTATTGGTTGACTATTTTCTGTAGCAAAGGAACCTTTCTGTGGTCATAAAAATCAAATGAGAAGTAGATCAAGTAAACATCTGTCATGAATGATAAGGTTAACCTGATAACTATAAATGTCTCGGGAACTAGTACCTAACATCTATCTACCTTTTTTAGCTCACCTGGCCCAAAGTGCCAAGTGAGCTTTTCTCATCACTTGGCGTCCGTCGTCGTTAGCTTTTACAAAAATCTTCTGCTCTGAAACCACTGGGCCAAATTTAACCAAACTTGGCCTCAATCATCATTAGGGTATCTAGTTTTAAAAATGTTTCCAATGACCCCGCCAACCAACCAAGATGGCTGCCATGGCTAAAAATAGAACATAGGGGTAAAATGTAGATTTTGGCTTATATCTCTGAAACCAAAGCATTTAGAGTAAATCTGACGAGGGTAAAACTGATTATCAGGTCAAGATCTATCTGCACTGAAATTTTCAGACAAATCTGACAACCCGTTGTTGGGTTGCTGCCCCTGAATTGGTAATTTTAAGGAAATTTTGCAGTTTTTGGTTATTATCTTGAATATTATTATAGATAGAGATAAACTGTAAACAGCAATAATGTTCAGCAAAATAAGATCTACAAATAAGTCATCATGACCAAAATTGTTAGTCGACCCCTTTAGGAGTTATTGCCCTTTATAGTCAATTTTTAACAATTTTTCGTAAATTTTTGTAATCTTTTACAAAAATCTTCTTCTCTGAAACTACTGAGACAATTTTAACCATACTTGGCCATAATCATTATTAGGGTATCTAGTTTAAAAAATTTGTCCGATGACCCCGCCTTCCAACCAACATGGCCGACATTGTTAAAAATAGAACATAGGGGTAAAATGCAGTTTTTGGTTTATATCTCTGAAACTAAAGCATTTAGAGCAAATCTGACAGGTGGCAAAAATGTTCATCAGATTTAGATTTATCTGCCCTGAAATTTTCAGACGAACCCGACAACCCGTTGTTGGGTTGCTGCCCCTGAGTTAGTAATTTTAAAGAAATTTTGCAATTTTTTGTTATTATCTTAGATATCATTATAATATCTAATTGCTAATATTATTAATTATGATTTTAACCTTATTTTACATGATTTCCAAAGCATCAGTAAATACAGGTGAGCGACACAGGCTCTTGAGAGCCTCTAGTTTTTATACGACCGCAAAAATTAAAAAAATTTTGGTCGTATATTGGTATGACGTTGGCGTCGTCGGCGTCGTCCGAAGACACATTGGTTTTCGCACTCTAACTTTAGTTTAAGAGAATGGATCTCTGTGAAATTTTTCCATAAGGTTCAATACCACAAAAGGAAGGTTGGGATTGATTTTGGGGGTTATGGTACCAACAGTTAAGGAAAAAGGGGCCAAAAATAAGCATTTTTGTAACTTCCAGACATAACTTGTGTGTTAGTGTATGGATCTCTCTGACATTGTACCACAAGGTTCCATATCACAAAGGGAATGCTGGGATTGATTTTGGGGGTAATTGCCTCAAAATTTTAGGAATTAGGGGCCAAAAAAGGGGCAAAAAACAAGCATTTTTCTAGTTTCATGATAATAACTTGTGTGTAAGTGTATGGATCTTTCTGAAATTGAACTACAAGGTTCCATATCACAAAGGGAATGCTGGAATTGAGTTTGGGGGTAATTGCCCAAAACGTTTAGGAATAAGGGGCCAAAAAGGGGCCAAAAATAGCATTTTTCTAGCTTCCAGACAATTACTTGTGTTCAAGTGTATGGATCTCTCTGAAATTGTACTGCAAGGTACCATACCAAAAAGGGAAGGCTGGGATTGATTTTGGGGGTAATTGCCTCAAAATTTTAGGAATTAGGGGCCAAAAAGGGGAAAAAAACAAGCATTTTTCTACTTTCAGGACAATAACTTGTGTTCAAGTGTATGGATCTCTCTGAAATTGTACTGCAAGGTTCCATACCACAAAGGGAAGGCTGGGATTGAGTTTGGGGGTGATGAATCATAAGGGGTTTCATTCAAAAAATTTGGGGGGGGGGGGGGGATTTTTTTTTTTTCCTTTTTTTTCTTTTTTTCCTTTTTGTTTTCTTTTAAAATTTTCCATTTTAAGTTGGTTATTTCTGATTTATATTTAAAAGCAAATAATAATGATATGGTAGGAGATACACACCAAACAGGATGTGTAAATTATTATATAATAAGTATTGTGCAATAGCAAGAAATTTTCAATTGCACAGTATTGCACAATAGCAAGAAATCTTCCATTGCACAGTATTGCGCAATAGCAAGAACTCTTCAATTGCACAGTATTGCGCAATAGCAAGAAATATCCAATAGCACAATATTGCGCAATAGCAAGAAATTGTCAATTGTACAGTATTGCGCAATAGCAAGAAATATTCAATTGCACAGTATTGTGCAAAAGAAGATACTTCGTATAAATTGCTTATTTCTTGACCAATTTCAATGGGGTTTTATTCTTGAATTCTTGGGGTTCTTTAATGTGCTGAATCTAACCGTGTATTAAGTTTTTGGATTTTGGGCCCCGTTTTTAAATTGGTCCACATTGAGGTCCAAAGGGTCCAAAATTAAACTTTGTTTGATTTCATCAAAAACTGAATTATTGGGGTTCTTTGATATGCCGAATCTAACCGTGTATTTAGATTCTTAATTTTTGGTTCCATTTTCAAATTGGTCTGCATTAAGGTCCAAAGGGTCCAAAATTAAACTAAATTTGATTTTAACAAAAATTTAATTCTTAGGGTTCTTTGATATGCTGAATCTAAACATGTATTTAGATTTTTGATTATGGGCCCAGTTTTCAAGTTGGTCCATATCGGGGTCCAAAATTAAACTTTGTTTGATTTCAACAAAAATTGAATATATGGGGTTCTTTGATATGCTGAATCTAACCATGTATTTAGATTTTTGATTTTTTGGGCCCCGTTATCAACTTTGTCCACATTGAGGTCAAAAGGGTCCTAAATTAAACTTTGTTTGATTTCATCAAAAATTGAATTTTTGGGGTTCTTTGATATGCTGAATCTAACCATGTATTTAGATTTTGGATATTGGACCATAATAGGTGAATGTCCAATTTAAAATTTTTAAGTTCTTAGACCACATTCATTCTGTGTCAGTAACCTATGCTGTGTCAAATATTTAATCACAATCCAAATTCAGAGCTGTATCAAGCTTGAATGTTGTGTCCATACTTGCCCCAACTGTTCAGGGTTCGACCTCTGCGGTCGTATCAAGCTGCGCCCTGCGGAGCATTTTATTTATGTTTGCAGCTAAATCAGTTTTGCTATCCACCAATAATTATTGTATATATAAATGATTATTCAGCTCAAATTGATATGGACACTTTGAATAGGTTGACTTAAAAATATTTAAATCTTAACATCAAAATCCACTTTGCCAATATAAATAATTATCTAATGATTTTGTTTTTTGTCACACTGATCATTCTTTACAGGCAATTATATGTCAGCTTGATGGTGTACAAGCAGTAGGAGGCTCTTGGAGTAGAGAAGCTATTGACAAGTTTAGAACACTAGTAGTCCCAGTAATAGTCAGTGGGGTTTTAACCAAAGTCATAGCTTCTTCAGTACATAACAGAATCCATAAGGTCAAAGTTATGGATAATAATGGTGTTGATGTTGGACAGACCCTGGTTAACGATGGGTTTGCTAGGATGGGAGGTTCAATGGATCTGTCGCATACAAAAAGTGAAATGAGGTAAGAACATTGCCAGTTTGAGCTATATTGAAAGAAGGTTTTCTTTATTTTACATTTTATTAGAAGGTAAAGTCAGATAACCACACTATCCTGACCAGAGTTTGATGTAGATTTCAAAGGACCCAGATGGTGACCATTTAGTGTCATATCATTCCCAGCTTTATATTAAGTAGTTATATCAATCAAGGCAACAGTTTTCATAATTTTTAGACAGCTGAATATATATCTTTCTTCAGAAAACTTACTTGATCTAAGAATTTGTTTTTCATAGTTTTCTTGTTTATTTCTGGTCAATTGCTCAGTTTTGTTCTTTTTGCTTCCTTTTCCCTCACTTTTCAGATGCTTTCTTTTTGGGATCAAAACTTGTCGGAATTGACTAAAACTTTTGTCGGTTTTATGCCCCCTCAACCATGTCAATAAAATGTCGGGGGGGGGGGGGGGGGCAATTCTTTTACCCCCTGTCCGTCCATTCCTCGTAGGGTATATGGTTTGTCTGGCTTACTCCTATGGTTTTAAAGCAACTTTTATATTATGTGGAGTGTTAAAACATATACTAAAGGTGGGCACATTGTCAGGGTTTTGATTTTACTTTAAATTTTCCACAAATAAATAGATGTTGAACTTTGTTAATTTTTTAGTGAAATTATGCATGCAAGGTACATGGTTTGTCAGGCTAACTCCTCTTACAGTTTTGAAGTTAGAACCTTTATATTATGCAGGGTGTTAGTACATATACTAATTTTATTTAAATTTTCCACTAATGGCTAGTTGTTGAACTTTGTTATTTCATTAACCCCCCTCCCCCCTCCACCTTAACTGTAAAACTTGGATCTATGAAGCAACTAAATTGTCCTTCATTATGGAATAAATCATTAACTATGGCAGGAAAGTTTAAGGTGTCTACAGCCATTTCAAGTTGTACAAGTTCTGAACATGGATTGATTGTTACTAGCAGTGGCAATTATTTCATTCATATTCAGGGCAAAACATGGATTTGATATCTACTGGTATCACAAAACAATTTCATTGATTATACTCATATGAGAAACAAATAATGTAATGCCAGTATAAAGAATCCAATTTTGAATGTGAGATTGCCTTTACTTCTCAGAGATTCCTGTTTGTGGTCCATCAATCTGAAACTTTTCATGTCAAATTTTGTTTTATAGTACAATTTTTATTAACATTGCCTTTAAGGACCTGATCTGTTTCTTCCAATGTAACGGTCCTAAAGAGACAACTTGGAACATTTTTTTGGTCCTTGTTTACCTTGTCTTCTTGGTCATCAGTGATAAAATCATCATGATCACATTAATCCATGACATTCTGTGTATGAATTGAAAACTGCTGGTCATAAGCAAATCTATCTACCACCAATGCTTGTATCTTGCAATTCTCCACCAAAGACTAGAGTCATGAGCCAACATTTCCATCATATCTTCCCCAACTGTGCATCCTTGTCCAAAATTATGTCAGAGACTTCCATTTTGTTTGTTGTCGTCTATTCAAGAATGTTCAATTTTCTGAAAACCTACTATAGTCCATTTTAATTTACTGATTAGCTTGTTCAATTCCTGAAGGGGGACACTACCATTTTCTCAATGTTTCCTTTTCTGACCAAAAGTTTAAATCCTGTATTTGACCACCTGAAATTCTTTTTAGATCTGGGTTTTTTCTTTATTAGATTTCTGTAAATGAGCAGTTCTCATACACATGGAATTGCAATAAATGAACAATTTATAATGTGTTTTAAGTCATTGACATGTAAAAGTTATCCATTAAAACCAGAAAATACCACCATTTTATAAAGACTTGTCCACTACAGTTCCTAGATAAATATCCATATAAAGTTCTGTTCTGTTTAATTTGAAAAGACAGTCATTTGAGAAGCCATCTGTGTATGCTTTCCTTAGGTGTTGATTTTATTCACAATTGTAATAGCTCTCAAGAACATAAGATATTTGTACATTTAAAATAATTTGTTTCAGAACACCAATAATGTCTTCAGATTTGAAAAAGATTGCAGAAAGTCTTCATGTAGGAAGCAAAGAAAATGTGTTGGTCACTGAAAAGAATTCTCCTGTCTTATTTTATGGGCAGATAGTACAAGAAGAGATAATTACAAGATTCTCCACATTTGATCAGGAGCTGGTCATGGAAATGACTAGCTTGAGAGAAATTGTGCCTTATAGGTAGGTACCTTAATGATGTATATTGTTTAAATTGACTGAATCAGGCTGATCATTAGATAATTCTTTATTGAGAAAGCATTTTTAGTACTGTTACCTTCCAAGTCTAATTATCATAAAATTACATTGGTGGAGGGCAACCATAACATTTATGTATTTTTATCTAGACAAAATGACAAAAATGGCTGTTTACATCCCTAAATTGATATGGTGTACTAGAAAAGTTTAAAAGAGTAGCAAGACCTAAATTTGCCAAAATGAAATATGTCATCTGTTCAGAAATTAAAAACTTCCATTGAATTTGACATTTGTGTTTCTATTAACATGGTTTCCTGAAGGAAATCCTGTTATTGGATTTTGAGTAATATGGTGGGTGGATGACTAATTGTTTATGTGCAATAAACCTTTTTTGTTGTCATTTTAACAGCCTCTTGTATGTCAACCTATATGTAAACTTTTAATTTTATCTGAAACTGTCACCGAGCACTACTGATATGTTTATGTTATCATGATACATAATGTCAATAGCAATCAAAGATCCGAAGTTACCTACGAGGAACATTTCAATACCCATGCAGGATATTTTTTTTACATACAGTAGACACAGTTCAAAGTTAAGTTTTTTATGGGATTTTTCATAGTAAATGGTGCTAAGCAATTGTGGGTGCTTCACTCTAGTCTAAATATTTAATGAGTATTATATGACAGAGTCGTACCTCATTCATTCATTGCTAGAAATAGTGACTTTCCACAAAATCACCTTGAATGTGCTGTATTTCATCACCCTATGCAAACAGTAATGGAATAACCTTAAATAAAAATGCTTCACAAGTACAAAGATTTGATTATATTTTCAAAATGTTGATTTTGCTTTATTTCAGACCAAAATGTTTTGGAGAAATTGTTTACGCCAAGTTCACAGATGGGAAATGGTATAGAGCAGAAGTATTGTCCATTTCTGGCAATGATGCATGTTGTCTATTTATAGACTATGGAAATAAAGCAACAGTGAATTTCTCGTTAATACAGAAAGCTTCATCACTGTGCAAGACTGTTCCACAAATTGGTGTAAAAATGAAAATTGAAGGTTTATCTGAACCGCAAACATGGACAAAGAATACATTGAATGTATTTGATGACTTAATAAATATGGATCAGCCTAAATTATTTGAAATGGAAATGAAATCTATAAATTCTGACATAGTGGAAGTTGATTTTGTGGATGAGAAAGGAAAGTCTGCTTCTGCTCTGATTCGTCAAACAATGGCTAGTGAAGGCCCTTCTTCTGTCATAATGACTTCCTCAATTCCAAAGGAAACTTTATCAGTTGATGGAGCCAAAGAGGATATGATGATAACTGAACTGTCAATTCCTTCAAACAGAATATACTTACAAAAGGCAATACAAGAAAATGCTGAAAGAATAGAAGCTATTCGCATGGAAATGACCATGTTTTGCAAGTCAAATTCAAACTCTTATCAACCTGTAAAAGGAGAATTGGTTTGTGCTCTGTTTCCAGATGATGGCTTGTGGTATAGAGGAGATGTTTTAGAAGTTAAGGGAGACATGTACAGAGTTCAGTTTGTTGATTATGGAAATGAAGCTGTGGTTCAACCAGCCGGCATCCGTAAAATCTTGCCATCGTTTGTTGAACTACCTCAACAATCTGTTTGTTGTACACTTAAAAGTTTAGTGTTATCTGACTTGAAAGAGAATCAGTTAATTACATTTTCAAATTCGGCAATGAATGCAATAATAGCAGTTGAAGCTCATGAAATACAAAATGATGCATATGTTTCCACATTTTATCAAAAAGGAGACGGAACAAGTATTAACAGTATGCTTAGTGAAGCAGAGGTATTTTCTACTGCAGGCGAGAGTCAGAAAATAATTGTGGCCTCTTCTGTTCCAATGGAGCCTGTTCCAGTTGATGGTTCCCAAATTGAAGTGCTCATCACAGAATCCTTAGATATGAAACATGTTTACATTCAGATATATCAAGAAAAATATCACCAGAATTTACAAGCTTTGACACAAAAGTTACAGAGCTACTGCCAATCTAACAATGAACCTTATATGCCTTCCAAAGGTGAACTTGTATGTGCTAAATTTGATGATGATGAAGTTTGGTACAGAGCTGAAGTTCTGGATATCAGTGGCAATGACTACACAGTACATTTTGTGGATTACGGAAATAAGTCATTTGTCAAATCATCCTCAATCCGTAAGATCAACAGTTCACTTTCTTCAATGTCAAAGCAGTCCATATGCTGCAATATAGTGGGAGTTGAATTGAAGAGTCTACCAGAGGAGAAACTGTTGAAATTTGCTAACATGGCAATGCAGGGTAAACCAGTGAAATTGCAAGGTCTTAAGAAGGAAGATGGGTATTATGATGTTGAATTATACACACTCAGTGGTGAGAATATTAATGCCATGTTTGGGTCAGTACAGGAAGAAGTTCAACCGTCTTCAGAAACTACACCTCAGCTGACAAATGCTTCTGCCGGGGTTATCATGGCCAAGTCTTTGCCAATTTTCGAATTGCCTTTAGACGGAACAAAAATAAGTATGAAATTGATTGACCCTGGTGACTATGAAAATATGTACTTCCAGACTGATGTTCATGGTGATAAGCACACACTGTCTCTCTTGTCATCTCAGATAGGGAGCTTTTGTCAAGATAATCCGCTTCCACATAAACCTGTGAAAGGTGAGCTTGTATGTGCCTTGTTTTCTGCAGACAGTACATGGTACAGAGCAGAAGTTTTGAATATATCTGGAGATGATTATGAACATCGCTTTGTTGATTATGGAAATTGTGAAACAACAAAATGCAGTAATATTCGTAAAATTGATGAAACATTGACAGTTATACCGAAATTGGGTGTTTGCTGTAATTTAAAAGGAATTGACTTAAAAGGCTTACCAGAGGAAATGATTTTTGAATGTTTAACGATATTGACAAGTGACACAGTTCAAGTTCAGGCAGTGCAAAATAAGGAGAACTCTTATGATATTGTAGTGTTTACATCTAATGGAGAAAATATTAATCAGAAATTCATGTTCCCGTCTTCAATTCAAGAGCCAGTTCCCGAAATGTATATGGCATTAGAACTGCCAATGAAGACATTACCGTTAGACAGTTCAAAGGTGAATATGGTTATTATGGATGCCACTAGTATGGACACAATTTACTTACAATATTGTACAGTTGAGGACCAAGAGATGATGGTTGATTTGCATAAGGCCATTAACATGTATTGTCAAGAAAAAGCTTCTCCATATAAACCAATTAAAGGTGAACTTGTCTTTGCTATATTTGATAGCGGGGATAGCATGGATTGGTATAGAGCAGAGGTAATGGAAATCATTGGAGACAGATTCAAAGTACGTTATGTAGATTATGGTAATACTTCAGAGGTTAGGTGTGATCAAATAAGTAAAATAGACAAAACATTGGCAACTCCACCCTCACAAGCTGTCTGCTGTCGACTTTACCAAGTTGACCTGAAAGTGTTTTCACCAGAAAAACTCCAACCTCTAATCAATTTGGTTAGAGAGAATAAACCTGTGCAAGTTCAAGCTGTAGAATTGAAAGAACGATGTTATGATGTGCTATTATTGACAAGTGAAGGGGTGAATGTGAACCTACAAATGTTGGGGGAAGTTGCCCCACAACAAACACAATCAATTATTCTAACCAGTAGCATTTCAAGAAAATCATTACCAGCAAATGTAGAGATGGATGCTGTGATAACAGAAGTTATGGAAGACTGTCTTTTCTTTTTACAAGCAAACATTGATGAAACAAAAAAAAGTCTTGACAAAATTTTAGAGCAGTCACATCAATATTGTTCATCTAACAATACTCCTTATAAACCTGTGAAAGGAGAGCTCGTTTGTGCTCAGTTTTCAAGTGATAAAGTATGGTATAGAGCCAATGTTGAGGATACAAATGATGGCAAATATCTCGTTCACTACATTGACTTTGGCAACCGAGAGTTGACAACAGAACTGTCGATCAGGAAAATAGATCCATCGCTAGCTGTGGATCCAGGTCATTGTGTTAAATGTTGTCTGCATGATGTACTAAAAACTGAGGAGGTGAAAAACACGTTAAACAGTCTGATGGGAGTCATAATAAATATCAAGGTCATCAAGGAAGAGAATGACCTCTATCATTTGATTATCGTATCTAATGGCATAAACATCAATGATCAACTGAAAAGATCAAGCAAGACACCGGGGGCCGGAAGACCAAAAGTGAGTGATCAGCTACAGAAATCTACATCACCAAAGGTCAAAACTGATGAAGCTAGTCAGACTCAGCCCATGACGACTAGGGGAGGCAGTAATTACCTGTCATTAAGAGATATTTCAAAGACAGAACCAAGTGGAAAGAACCGTTTTCTTATAACTTATGTTGTTGATCCTACAGAATTCTATTGCCAGATAGCTGATCCCAATGGTAGATATAAAATTTTAAATATAGAAATAAGGAGATGTGGTATGATTGCCAATAAGAAAACTATCCACCTGAGTCCAAATAACATGGATGTTCAAGTTCTTCTTTCAGCATGTATAATTGGTTGTGTACAAAAAACAACGTTGAGTAATGTTTGCATGTTTGTTTGGTAAACCATACATTTATATCCCCTTTGTTCACTACTAATTGATAGAGTAACACAAGTTTTGCTAGCAAATCAAATCATTGGACAAGAAACAAAAGGATGATTGAAAACATTGTCCAGTTTGTATATTTATTTGCAATAGATAGTAAAGAATTCATTATTCACTCAGCAAAAAACAAGCTTCACTTTAATTCACTAAGTGCTCTCTCAAATAGTTAAGCTGTTATTTTTCTTTGATTTCTTCAATAGTTACTATTTTCTTTACTCTGTATCGTCTCGTATTGTGTTTTCGACCGTCTTACGTTTTCGACCTAATTGTACTTTCACTTCCCGTATGCTGCGCATGCCTGTGTGACGTCACATTTGGCTGCTATATTTAGTAACAATAGCAAATAATACCACGTGTGGTGAAGATGTTTCAAGTAAAGTTATTATAATTAAGTATTTACGTTATTTTATTTGATTTCACATTTTTGTACCTTTTCACTAATACTATTTTTACCTTCCACAAGAATCTATCAAAAATAAACAAATATTCCAGAAATATGGCCGAGGACTTTTAGCATGTGAAGTTAACATCAAGGTCTTTACGTCACATGGCTGTCATGTGGTTAGTTGTAATACTTAAAGTTATTTTTAATACGGAAATGTGGATGATCCTTACAGCTTTTTGCTGAAAAAATAAAATATCAATTGATTTTAATTCACAGAAACAGCAGTCTGTCAGGGGAGATTACAGATAATACTCACCAACCTCACTTCACAATGCCTTCACTAAAGTATATTGAACAGAAACATGAATGTATACAAGGTCCTACAAGGATCTACAAGGTTTCCAAAGTGCCTCATGTGAAATGTGTACAACTAGTCAAATAAAGATATCAAAATAATATTTTATATCTTATAGTTGTATATGTCACCATTTAATTCATTAAGTCATAAGTTTGATCGCCTCTAAAACTTTAAATAATTTGATATAAACATTGGCATCAAATTATAACCAATTCCGGATTTGTACGACATGTCATTTCCGACTTTGGACCCGTTTCTTAGATAGGTCGAAAACACAAGACGCTAGTTTTTGTCAACAAAGGTGCCATCGATCTAATGAACTCAAATAAAAAAAAAATTTAAGATCGAAATATATTTTAGATACAATTATTTCATGTACAAGTATACTAGTGACTCTAAAAAATATTAGGCATGTATATGTTCAAACATATAAAAGGGGAAATATTGATAAATATGTAAGTAGGTCGAAAACACAATACACGAGGATATGTATTATTAATAATCATGAAGACAAAGAGTGAAGAAATTTCATTTCAACAATAAATATAAGGGGTAAATCAGACCACACATTTCACAAAATTGTCTTACCAAACCAAAAGGTATTGAAAGATGAATTTTCTGTTCTGAACTCAATTTTGGGCATGATACTAAAAGTTACGACTGTTTGAAATGAACCAAAAAACTTATTTGATTTATTTAAAGTTTTTTCTTTTCCATTGTTGCATAGCCATTTGCCACATATATTATATGCCCACATATACAGTAGACAATGTAAAAAAAAAAAAGTAAGATTTTTGTCAAGTTTGGAAACTTTTGTGGATTCATCTATTTTGGTGGGTACCAATTTTCATGGATTGAGGAAAAATTTGTTTTTTCTTGGAAGTTTGATTTGGTGGTTCTGCCAAAGTCTACATACAAGCCTATAGAAAATGTGTACTTGCATTGTAGTTGAGCATTGAAATTCAAGGTTTACCTATACCCATAAAATCCAGGAAATCCAGGAAAATTGGTATCCCACAATAATAATGAATCCACAGTATGAAAACATTTAATACAAATCATACAATTCAATTTTTACTAAGGGCTATTCCATTAAAAAGAAGGTACTAGGGTCGGAAGGCAATTTTTAAGTACCCCCATGACCAAGAGGAATGTACCATGTATCTTAACACCAACCAACAGGAAGTCATTTCATGATAATACAAGAACCAACTGGAATATATCTAACTTATTTTTTACTGGCCCTTCAAAATTGAGAAGAAATTACCTCTTGGAATTGTAGATATATGTATACTCTATAAAAACATCTACATGTAATATCAACATTTATTAATGATAAAGAAAATTACTGTCACATTTCATTGGATTTTGACATGAAAATTTGTGAACTAAAAGTTATTTTGAGTTTCTGTATAAAATATTTCATGCTTTTTCTTTCTTTTCCATATATCTTTTGGTTTTCAATTCAAGTGTTTATATTTCATCATCATAGATGTATTTTGTCACCTGCCTGGAATTATTATTTTTTTTATTGTATTTGATCGGCAAACCCGGAATTACCCTCATCCGACCACGGAATCTGATCCGGTATTGTAATCGTCTTCATTTCCGGTTTATGACATCCATTGTTTTTCAATGTTGTTTTTGTCAGTCAGATACGTTTTTACTCGTATTTACACATTACTTGTTGGCGATTTTCAGTATAAAGCTAGCGGTTGAACAAAATGAGCATCGCTGTCATGAATAATAAAGATAAAAATAAATTTTGAGATCGTTTGGAAGTTTTGATCCTAAATTGAAAACTGGGAAAAACGTAGGGTATTTGCCGTAGCCAATAGGAATGGGTCCGGTATTTGGACCCTGTGGAATACTAGAAAAATCCCTGGAGGTGTATACGATCTCAATAATAATATGGCTTTAAAATGACCATACTGATGGTTAAAAAGGTCGGCAAAGTTAATTTTTATTTTCTTTCAAATCGAAGGTTCTTTCAATAGAATTTGACATCGTTCGTCATGTGCTTGTCATTATAGGGAAGTAACTCTTGCACTTCCGGAACTGGTAACCGTAGGTAGAATACAACGTTGCGCCTGCCGCTGCGTAAGTTGTGGGAACAGTTATGTTTTCCAAAATATCACGATATGAGCAGGAGACAAAAACAATCGGTTATATAAATCCTTGCAAAAACAAATAATAATAATTAACGAAAAATAACACAATGAAACCGACAGTCACGAAAACTGAATGTCAAAGAAGACCAACAACCAACAATACTTAGTTTCTCTAAACACCAAGGACCACTGGCCATAAACGCTTCAACACATCAACAACCAATGGGATTTTTTATAATTGCCATCCGACCCTGGTACATTCTTTGTAATGGAATAGCCCTAATACATTCATGTAAGTAACTTTCATGAATCTTAAACATGTTAAAAGGAAAATTGTGATAAAATTTGTAGTGATTAATTGTATGAATAAAAACTTATTTTTAGAAATTCAGAAGTTGGCTACATTGATGCAGGGGATGATGTGTAGATGTGAGATAGAAGATCCTGATCCAGGTTTCAGACCACAGATTGGAGATCTTGTCTGTGCCTTTTATCCTTGTAAGTTCTTATTGATGTATTGATGTGAGGTTGACAATTCTAATACAGAGTTCACATTCCATGTTACAGATCTGTTTCTGTGTCTTTTATCCTTGCCATTACTACTTGGTGTGAGATAGAGGATCCGGATTCTGGTTTCACACTTCAGTTTGCGAAATGTTGAAATATTTTGAAAGCAAACAAATATCATGAAATCGAGAAATTTTAGTAATGAATTGAATACTTTGTGACATGTTTTGATCTTCTTACTCTAGCTATTGCTGGCAGTACAGAGTAGAGTAAGTTTTGGAAGTTACCTAAAAATGTGAACACTTGTTTATAATTTCAGCGGATGGTAACTGGTATAGAGGAAATGTGGTAGAAGCTTATCAGAACAATACCTATCTGGTACATTATTTGGATTTCGGAAATTCTGAGTTGTTAGAAGCCAAACAGATTAGATCTATGCTTCCAGAATATATTGAGATGCCACTGTTGGCATTTAAATGCTCTTTGCCAGGTTAGCTATCTTGATATTTATGTTCTGTAGAATTCCAGCTCAAACTTTGTAAATCATCTAGAGCAAGAAATCATACCTTACCACCGCTTGACAAAATCAAACCATGTTTTACAGTAAACAATATTTACCTTAGTCCCCTAACGACGAAGTCGAAGGGGACTTTAGGTTTGCACTCCGTTCGTCTGTCTGTCTGTCCATCCATCAATCCGGCAAGTTTTCCACACTTTTTTTCTTCATGCTTGAAGATATTGATTTGATATTTGGTGTATTGTTTTATCATGACAAGTAACAGATAAAGTCGGAATTTTGTTCAGGCCTGATGATTTTGTGCAGAGTTATGGTCCTTGGACTCTTATTTGTTATCTACACCATGACAAGTTATAGATCAAGTTAGCATTTTGTTCCAATACAAAGAATTTTAAACCGGTAGGGGACTATGTATTGTCATGCAATACTCTCAGAATGCTTGTTGTTATTGCAGTAGGATAAATAAAATAGGGTAAATTGTTATATGACCTGCTACATATGTGGATGGTCAGTTTAATTTATCCCTGTCCATTAAGTCCATAGTTGTCCCCCGCGTGACACGTTGCGGGGGACATGGAAATACCATCCATCCGGTCTTGTTAGTGCTCTCACATGTACAATTCTTGCAAGATATTTATGAAACTTATATCATAGGTTTATATCAGCAATATCTTGGACTTGTTCGAAAATCAGTGCTGATCAATTATTTTTAAAAGAGTTATGCCACATGGACACATTAATTTTATAGAAAATTGCATCGTTAGCACTCTCATGTGTACAATTCTTGCCAGATTTTTATGAAACTTATATCATAGGTTTATATTAGCAATGTCTTGGAAGAATTTGAAAATCAGTGCCGATCAATAAATTTTAAAGAGTTATGCCCCTTGGAAATATTAATTATATGGAAAATTGCCTAATGAGCACTCTAATGTACAATTCTTCCCAGATTTTTATGAAATTTATATTATAGGTTTATATCATCAATATACTTGAAGAGTTCAAAAGTCAGTGTCGATCAATTATTTTTAAAAGAGTTATGCCCCTTGAAAATATTGATTTGTTTTTTGTTTTTTTTTTTTTAGTTATTGCCCTTGTACCTTGGATAGATAAAATATGTGCAACGCGGGGGACATTGAAACTCTTCTTTTATTCTTTCTGATTTGGTGAAGTCTGGTGGACATTTGGAAATGTCACCACTGAAGTGTTCTTGTTAATAGGACAAAAGTCAATATGGAGATTAAACTATGATAAACTACAGTCTGCTAATCTCACAGCAGGGTACAGTTGAAGATATTTCACTAGTGCAATGGAGAGGAGATGTAAATCATGTGCTTGGTTTCTGCATTTTGATTGTCCTTAGACAAAATTTCAGTTTTTGGCCTTGCTTATTTTCAAGATGAATCTTGTAGTCCTGACTCATTTATTATAATATTTCTACTGTTTTACAGATCTTGTTCCTGTAGGTCCAAGTTGGGATACAGCTGCAAAAGAGAAACTGAAGATTTTTCAAGCAGTATCACTAGATGCTGAAATTGTGAGAAGAGAGGGAGAAACATATATAGTTAATCTAGCCCACACTGAAGAGGAGTCAAAACAGATCATTGATGTGTCAGAACAGCTTATTACTGATGGTCATGCTAGAATTTCATCAGGCAATGCTGCAGGTATTATAAAAGGGAAATATAGATCACATGAATTTTCACAATGAATAACTACTATATACAGTCTGACAAGTACATTTTCTAATAAACCATATATCAAGTCCCCATCATTTTATTTTTTTTTTGGGGGGTATGGAAATAACATCACTACTGCTACGGGGACATGACTACCAATTAGGGTCTTGTATGATTGGAAAAAATGATTTAAACAAGTTAAGGATGTTCTCCATTCTGTTTCAAAATAACAAGCTTTTTAAAAGACTGTTACAGACATGTGACAGAGTTGTCAAGCCACAACTGGAGATTTGAAAATTTTCAGCTGGAGTTTGGATCTCATAACTGGAGATTTTTTATCGACCTTTTTTTCGTCGTACGCAATGTTTTTTGGGTGTGTTGAAACTGCATATCTTCCTTTTTTGTTAAAAGAACAATGATTCCATACCTTTAAACACCTGTATAGCCATTTTTACTTGATAATGATAGAAGATAAGGGTTTTCAAATTTTTATTCATCATATATAGTTCCAGATATGTTATAACAAGTTACAATAACAGAACAATATAAAATTTCAAACAATAGTCACTATGTTGAATGTTTCTTATAATGTTTATACTAAAGCACTAAATTAAAAAGTTATCTTAAACAACAGTTGAAGCAAACTATTTAAATGTCACAAGAGAACATGATTTTAAATAAATATATAAAGCACAGTTTTTACATTAGCAAGAGCACTAATCATTGTTAAACATGAGTTCAAACACAATTTAAGAAAGAGACTGTTTGTATAAGGCACAAGCTGACTTTGCTGCTTTGACTAGTTCAGGTTCTGGTTTATACTGGTGACAGTCTGTTGGGTTGTTGATCTTTACACTAAGTAGACTGTGGATGGTCTTATCAGCTAGGTTGTCTCTGGGGTCAGACTGGATCTTCTTTAGCATTGAAAAAGTTCTTTCTGTGTCAGCATTGGAGTGTGGCAGGGCTAGTACAACTTTGCTGAGTGCAAACAGGTGCTGAAACTGTTGTTTACCACTTGGTTGCTTCAGGTTGCCAATAGAGGTCCAGAACTGGTTGAGTGAAGGTGTATCTGGATCAAATGCTGGCAAATCACACAGAGGAGTAAGAATATACTCAGCAGCTTCATCTTCTAGTTGACTGGTTTCTTGCTGATTATAGTTGAGGAACCTATCAGACAAGCTGATAACTGAAAAAGAAAAAAAATAATAAGTACTAAGTTTAAACAGTTCAATGATCAATCATAATTCAAACAATAAATGTTGTGCTATGTAATATTATATCTTCTCTATAAGCTATAGGCAGTTCAGTATCATTGGCATATACCCCACAACTGATCAATTTTATGTAAATTATTATACTGTTATGACTCATGACACAATATTATGTTATTCTGTTTGTAACAAGCACTCACTTTCATCTTTTGGACAGTGTTGACTTACTATACTATCAAAAAACTCACCTTCATTTGGAGATAACTTGTCTTTGCTGAGTGGATTCAGAAAACTGATGCCTCGGAGAACCTTGTCTTGGAATGGGAACTTCTTTATCATGGTTTCAGTCATAGTGCAGTAGAACTCCCTGACTGTACTGAAAAAGAAATAAAACATTTATTGAAATGTACAAAACTTGATATACACCTTAAGCAAGTATACTCTGTGTGAATGGAAATGGAAACTAATGAACAATTACATCTGATGGGATTATTTTCTCTTCAAAATATTTCATGTATTGCATGAACATATACCCTAGATTATTTTTTCTTTGTTAACACATAATAAACATACCTGAAGAAGTTGTTGACTGTCTGTGGTGGTAGGTCATCATTGTCACTAAGGAACTCTCTGACTTTCATACCAACTGCAATTCTGGTGTTGTCGTGTTGGTTGTCTGTACACCTGAAGTCTACCTTTGTGATGTCTGACTGTGCTGTGATGGTACTTGTAGTGACAAATTTACCCATCATCTTGCGAAGAAGTCGCACCATTTCTGTGTGTAAGTAACCAATCATGGACTCACCAGCCTACAAATTAAAATATTTATTAATATCAATTGACAAAAAGGAAACATTCACAAGTTGTACTGATTTAGAATAGTTTATATATATTGAAATATTATATAGACATCTGTAAACTGTTGAAGACTGTATGTTGACATATATTTGTCTTTGGGTTGCTGTCTCATTGAATTATACCTCACATCTAAAAAAATATTAAAATTATGCCTTAAAATAGGTACAATATACATATTATCAAAATAAAATACCTGAAACATCACATTGAAGTCATTCAGGATAGGCATGACAAACTCTAGGAAGGCAAAATACAACCACATCTGGTCACTGGTGAAGTACTGCATACATCTGTTGATACGACCTGGCTTCTCACACTCTGCATGGCTCTGAAAGTAACTCTTTAAAGCTGGCCACTGCTGTAGGGTACGCTGAACACACCTCTCTAAAGACAACCACCTGGTACTGCAGTGCTTGATGATCTTCATTGGGTCAGTCTCTGTGAACTCTTGGAACTGCTTGTAATTCTCTCTTCTGGTGGAACTGAAAAATAAAATTCAAAAATAAAGAATTATGAATACCATTGTGTTAGTTTTATATTTGATTAAATAATATTATTACATTTGTCTTATTCAAACTGGCAATCATGTCAGTGACAGTCACATTCTTTAATTTGATATCTTATTGTTCATTTTTAAAACTAGGACACATGTATATAAATCATGTACAAAGAAACATGTAATCCATTCGTTAATTTTTTTATTTCAAACATTTTTTTTTTCAAAACATCTATAGAGATAACAACTACAATGTGATACCTATGATGAAAGTGGTAGTAGATGTCCACCAAGAAGTCATCAACTGGCAATGGCAGGGTCTTGATGGCCTTCTGTGCACAGAGGTTGGCTAAGTGGCAAACACACCCTATGTTGAACACACTTGGTGACATCTGCTGAATACGGGTCAGGACACTGTTGTTCTTGCCTATCATCACATTGCAGTTGTCAGATGAGAATCCAATGCAGTTGGCCCAAGGAATATCTCTATCACTGAAAAAATTTTAAAAAAGATTAACATTTTGATCACTTACAAATAAATGTACATGTGAGGTATATGACAATTTATATTCATCATGTTAAATTTTATTCAACTGAATTTAATTTTAAATTAAAATATTAAATTAAATCCTAAGTTTTATTTAGTAAATTTAATAAATATTATCTTATTTTTATACCAATAATAAATTTATTCAGGATACAATTTTCAGACTGTAATATGCCTTCTTGATGTCTTTTAATTATTTTTGTACATGGGTTGCTGTCTCACTGATGTATACCCACATCATTTTATTAATCTTTAGAAAATGTAGAAAATGTACTTACATGAACACCTGATTCAGGCAGTTGAATATTGATGAGCTGGTTCCAATATTGCAGGTTGGGATACCAAGGAACTGTGTGGACACTTTGCGTAAAGTCTGATTGTATACACGTACAAGGATGTTGAGCTTCTTGTTATCACCTTTGTCATTTGACTCGTCAATCATAACTGTGAATTTCTCACTATGGCACATGTCGTTTACTTTACTGTCCCAGTGTGGTGCTAAAGCTTGTGTGATGATGTGGGTTGTCTTGGTCCTCTTACAGGCAAACTTCTGTGCAGTTGCAGAGTCTGGAAACATAGCCTTGATTAGGTCACTAAAGTGGTCAGCCATCAGGAATGCACAGTTGTGCTCAGCTACATAGTTGGCGAAAAGTACCTCAGCATAAGCAACATTGTCAACTTTGGTACCACTACTAAACACACTACTAACAGAAGGTGTTGAGCTGATGGAGTTGTGGGCTTTCTGATGGTTAGCTGTCTCCATATGTTTGGTCATGTCATTACGGCCACCGTAGCATATTTTGAAGTCAGCTTTGCATGAAGTGCAGTAGGCATGGTCTGTACCCTTGGCACTGGCCTTGCACCATTTGAATTCAGATTTCCAGGTAGTGTTGAATTTGGCAAGATACTTGGTCTTCTTTGCTGCTGGGGTATTTGGTGATAACATACGTTTCGGCATTTTGACAAATTATAAAATTGCCCAAGACAAACATTGTTATATAGGTATTCCATTGGCTTGGATAGAAAACAAGCCATAAATATCATATTTGAGTTGATTTCATATTTCTTTGAGGTTCAGTTCCGTGTTTTCAACAGCATCAAAGATCGCCGAGTCGTTGTTTATACAAATTAATCCATTGTCAGTCTTTCACTTTTAATCATCAAGGCGTGTGTCTTAAACTAGCCAGCTGATCACCTGGTAATTACCAATCAACTTTTATTGCTGTATATACAGTGTCAGTCTAATCCTAAACACCTTTATTGATTACTTGACGCTAATTGCCCTATATTTACCTTTGTCACAATATCAATAACAGGAAATGGTGACTTCTGTTTTTCTCAGAGTTTTCCCATAGCAATTTCGAGTTTCTCTGACTTTTTCTCTGTCCGTATCAATTTTATAAACAAAAATGTCTACTGAAAATTTTTCGAGGTTTAAATTTTCAAAAAGCGGAAGATTTCAAATTTTAACGGGAGTGACGGAAGAGGGTCTGAAAAGCGGGAGATTTTGACTCTCGCCGTAAGAATCACATGTATGCTGTTATAAATTGATAGTATATAAATAATGGAGCTAAAAAAGCAGAAAAAAATGAAGGATCCATTACCTTGTTTTCGAGATGTAAGCCATTAAAAAATTGGAGGGAAATGATTCTCTAGATTTTTCATACATTTAACATTGGCACCTTTTTTCTTTCAAAAACTATGAATAAATAAGGATTTTATTAGATTTACAAATATATGTAATAAATTACGAAAAGAAAAGTAGGGGTTAGCGGGCAAATATGTATTGGCACTACATGGATAAAATCAGAGAATTCTGAATATCTGACAAAAAACAAGAGGCGCGAACATCCTTAATGGTTCATTCAGGACATATGCTAAAAAGGACTGACCCTATGACCTATAAAGCCAAATCAAATTCATATGCTGTGGATATAATTTTATTTGTGGAGTATTAATTTTTCCCAAATATCATGAGTTAAATGAACCAATAATTTAAAAGTTGAATGGAGTATAAATTTCCTTAATCAGACTTGCAGTTTTGTTAAAATCATTAAAATAAAGTATCCAGGAAAGTACAATTTTTCCTAATCCATAGAAATTGGTACCCACAAAAATAAATGAATCTACAACAAAGGAAGTTGCTTGTTGCAATAACAAATCAGACTGGAATTACAGCTGTATATTTGGAAAGAAAACAAAACAAAACAAAAAATGAAGTGAATCAACATTTGTAATTGAATGTCTGGTACATGTCTTTACATATCTTTTACATATCTTTAAGTATATCGCACTACGGCTTTGTAATAATAGGGGTTTTGATACCAAACTGTTAATCTATAGCTAATCAATTTCTTTATACAAATGTTTGTACGATCATTATTTAGACCCATAAATCCCCCAAAAAATTAAATCTAGTGATGTATTTGTATATTGAAAAAACATCTCCAAGTAGTCACATAGCATGTTATTAAAACTATTTAGTTTTGTAATTTTTTTATACTTATCATTTCAGATGAGGCCAACCTTATCCAACAACAGATAGCAGCTTTACAAGCTCAGCTAGCTTCCATGGGAAAGAAATGAATATGAGATTGAATCCTTGTTAAACTTTGTTTCCACTGGAACATATAAAGCAGAACTGGAACATGCAGCTGTGGAGATGTGGAGAACAAAATCTAAATTCACAAAAGTGTCTTGAAGAAAAACTGATGACTTGGATACAGAAATGAAAACTTAAAATTACAAAGCTAGAAATTTTCATGTTGCTTATGTAAGCCATTGATTGTATTTTCATTATATTTTGTAAATATTTTTGAGAGCATTGTTGCATTACATTTTTATTATTGATATTATTTTTATGCATTTGTTATTGTAATCATAATGTACTGGCAGATAGCCATTTTGAATTTATTATGTTTTATAATGTTGTCCAATGATGCTTACTGAAATTTAAGGATAGTTCATATGGGTATTTTGTAATCACAAATCTAGTCAAAACTGGTTTAAAATTTTGCCTTTAATTATAAAAAACACAGCTTTGTTAACATGGAAGGGAGAACAATTTATTTACACTTTATTTGAGAAAAAATAATAACTATTGAAAGGGGGAAAATTCAAATTTAATTGAAATAAACCCTCTTTTGTAAACAAAATCTACCAACTGCTAAAATAGTAGATATTTGTCTGCTCTGAAAAGTGTATTCTGTGTATCTTTTACTGCACTGTGCTGATGAAATGCTGTGTTGACTTGCTAGAGTTATCTCCCTGAAGTGTTGTGTTCAGGTACTGCATCAGACACTGTAATATAAAACATTGTTTTCAATACATTTTTCTATTCACATTTACTCAAACTTTAAAACTGTTTATATGTTGATGAGATTTGTTTGTATTGTTAATTATTGAAGAGTTTTGGATTTATAGAAGGATTTTTTTTATTGTATTGTATTTTGTATAGATAGAAAAAAACAAGCTGTTTTGTATGGGTTTCTTTTTTTCTTAAAAAGACAATGCTAAGATGCAGTGCAGTATTATTTTTTTATTTTGTTTTAGTACTTTATAAATATTTTGTCTAATAGCATAGTGACATGCTGTCCGTATTTGAATGTAAAAGGAATAAAAAAAGAAGATCTTCATGTATAGCGATAACGTTAATGTCTATTAAAAAGCACTATTTGTGTTGGATTATAACTTCAAGGAAAATGAATATTTGACAGTTTTATTGTGCAACGAAAGTTTTGTGTAAAACCATTCTATTGCCGTTTGAAATCAAAGCGTTATTATCTTAATCCTTTATATTTCTTGTTAATATAAAAATAAGGTGATAAGAATGTTATAAATTTGATAATTTTGTTATTTCTTTATTGGTGCTAGCCAAGACCTTTTTTGTGAATAAAAGTGTTTGCAATGATGGAAACCATACCAGTAAGTACATTTTTCCAAAAGATCAATTAAGAAATAATTCATGGGGGCTTGAATATATCGTGATTTTACCACGGGTTGGCCCTTTATGACAAATATTTTACCCTGAGCAATAGCGATGGGTAAAATATCGGCATAAAGGGACAACCCGTGGTAAAATCACGATATATTCAAGCCCCCATGAATTATTTCGGTTCTAATAGGAAAAAATACGGCAATTGTTTTGGATCGAAGCGCTCTAGATGAAGGCATAATTTGCCGTTCCCATAAATAAACGCACTATTAAATTGACGTAAAAGACCGGAGCAAACTGAATAAATGACATGCTTAAACTATAACTATTTACAATAACATATTTAGATAGGTTTGGATGAATCTAAATGATAATTGTACTTATATGTCTTATATGTATACAAAAAATGGCTTATATAACACATTTTTGCATCGTTTGTTTACGTTTCCTTGGTGTGATGATTTTCGGTTTCACAAGCGTGTATTTTCCCGTAAAATGCTTATATTCTTACGTCATCGTTCTATGACGTCGGGTAGCTCATTCATAAAAAAGCATATGACGCGGGAGTACGATCGGAACAGCCCAAACAATATATTCATATTTTACCACGGGTGTGTACTCAAAGCGTTTGAAGAACGTCATGTTAGAATTTACTATATCCACCCATGTCTAGTATTTTATATTCGAGTCAAGACAGTATTAAGCGGGTGGGAGGAATGTACTTTTGTTATTAAAACTTTTTCAAAGTTGACATTTTGTTAGTTCATTGTCTCTTGCACCTGTCTTGTAAATGTATTTTCTTTATTTTTATGATTTAACCATGTTTATGATTAATCACGTCTAGGTTAAGTCAATGTCATGTCAATAGTGATGTCAAATAGATTCATTGAATTTTATTTGTTCAACGGTCTTGTTGTTTATAAATGCTGCTATTATAACAAGAAAGATGATGTCTAGGAAAAAGACTTTAAAAAAAATTTGTCAATTGGTCAGTTTTATTTTATAAATCAAGTATGAGAAATGAAAGTTTTTGAAAAATATATAAGAAATTTTTGTAATTTTTTTTTATTTAATCAAAGTACCAAAAAAAATCTATTATATGATAAAGATTGAAATTTATTTTCTCTGCCAAATTACTGTTTACCTACATTCTTTGGACCAGCTCAAAAATTACTTTCTTTAAACTATGTCAAGAAAGACAACTCTTAAGCGCTCTGTTTTTGTGGAATCAAAATAGTTTTTAAAATAAAGAACCAAACTCTACTGCTTTAACTCCAAAATTTGTTTCTTCAAGTGTTGATCCTATTATCTGCACACCTTCAATCAAAGTGTTGAAATTTTTTTTAAATGCAATGTTTTATTAATATTTTAGCATTGTATTTAAGATGACTTAAACTTTATTTACTGAAAATGTACAACATTTATTTATAAGCTTTCTAAATTTTTATTCTGTATCTTTGAAGGTTTATGGTGGTTAAACTATGTTGAAATTCAACTGACTAGTTTATAAGATGAAGAACTATTCTTCTACAAAATATGTTGCAGTTGGCATGTGTATGTTAATCTAAATGTGCTGATGTGGTTAATATTATGCTTTTCCTTTTTTGATGGAAAGCATTTGTCAAAATATTTTGGACGTGAGTCATTGTTTTGACAAGAATACAGGTGTGAAATTTTAAGCATGTTGGTGATTATGAAGAAAAAACTGCTAACTTTTTTCCATTTATTCAGTCTGCTTGTATCTGTTTTATCAAATAGAAACAGATTAACAAATTCTACCTAGTTCAACTGATGCTTTGTACAGTTTGTTCTGAAAATGTATGTTAAGTTTTTGGGAAAACTCCTATAGCAGTGCATTGTTTTGTCCCAAGAATGTTCAGCTTTGCACAGTCTACCCTGCAAATCAAATAGAAGCAGATCTCTTCATTGTCCACTGAAGAAAAAATAAGGAAACATTAACTGTATAATTTTCAGGTATTGTACTCTTTTTTACATTTAACATTTGATGCATATTTACAACTTTTCATGTGTTACTAATTACCTGAACATGAACTGTTCAGAGATTTCAGATTAATCTGATCTTTAGAGCAATTTTGAGACATTTTTCTCATTTGTAGACTCATTTTATGATTCTCATTGTATGTATTCTCAAAAGAAGGAGTTTTCTTGGTATTTTTTTTTAATTGTATTTTTGAAGTTGTAATTGTAATGCTATACTGCTAATTCCCAGTCTGATAAGGAACCAACAAATTTTGGCACATGTATGAAGAAAGGTATGCTCTTCTCAACTACAGTACCTGTATATCAACACCTTATAAAATGCTAATTTGGACTACTCGAGTATATTGAATCCTTTTTTTTTTTTTGCATTATGCAGTTAAAACTATCTGCCAATTATTCCTTTCCACATCATATCCTGTGAATTTAACTAACTATAACTTAAAGTTTATCCAGAATATACTTGAAATATTTGGCACATCACACTTTTCTCAGAAACTACTGAACTGAATGACTTCATGTTTGGTCAGGAGCTTGACAGTCTCGAGTTGTAACATGTGAACACTTTTCCAGATGCCTACTTCCTGTTTACCGATACTTTGAATTTTTCAACATGTTAATGGAAATTTGTTGTCACACATTTCTCAAGTACAACTAAGAACAGAATAATTTCATATTTAGTCAGCACCTCAACCATGAGGAGTTGTTATGTGTGTGTGCTTTTTGGATTTGTCACACACCTACTTCCTGTTTTCCAGCAACAACTCTGTGAAGAGTCGATATATAATTGTTGCAAGGAAAAAACTCTGCTCTTGTCCAACATATTCTCTATTTGGAGTGGCTGTCTAAATTTTCTGGAATAGGCATTCAATAATTTTACAATAGGATGTTAAGCGATCAACAAATAATCATGTCTACCTGGGCCAACCATAAAAGCTGCTTGGCATTCATACTACATCTTATTTTTATCTTGAAGAAATGATATGACTTTTTTCCTCTGATACACGAAAAACAAAATCCATTTTTCATCATTAGTAAGTTCACCTACATGTATATTATTATTGGTCATCTTAATCAAAAAATTAACTTGTAATTTGCAAAATTGCACCCAAGCATTTGTATTGTTAATTAAAGATTCAATTCTCCAGGAAGCTTTCCCCATAAAACTACTGAAATTATACTTAAGTATGAAAAATGTGGTTGAAGTCTTTAATAGATTTAAAAAATTTATGTTGAGTTTATGACAAGTTTTGTAACATTACATTTAGGTTCAGTTTACTATAAAGCAGTCTGCCAAGTCATTCACAATAAACTTTGATGCTAAATCGATTCATTCACATCTATGAAATAAACATATGTGCCAATTCTATTTATAATGCGAGAGACTCGCAATATTTTTTTCTTGAAAACTTGGAAATCTGACGGAAGTCAAATCAACTAATTTTCTCTTTTCTTTATTATTTCAAAAGTAGTCATTTCTTCTACAAAATTGAAACAATTAAAGCCATAACATTATTTTTGCTTGCAAAATATAATTTGTCATAGCTACCTGTTACTTTTGCTAATACATTCATTTATTATAGGTCATCGAAGGCAAAAACTTGCATATATTAAAAACAAAACACTGAAATAAATTCTCCTGCCAATCTACCAGGAGTAATTTTCCTCCAAGTGAGATTTCTAAGAAAAGAAAACATTTGTATGATTTGGCATGTCATTCTTTTCTATATGTTTCCTACTTTCCTAAATTTGATAGATTAAGAACATTATGGAATACAGAAAACCTCTGACAATTAATATTCTACGAGCTCTGTGGATATCTCTAATCCATGTTGGTTGAACAGATATGGTTGGGACTGAACCCAGCTTCAGACACCTGCTTTTAATTGTTCTTCTATTTAGATGTATCACTTAATATTTAAAGAATAAAAATTATGTCTTTTGTTTTGTTTCATCTGTCTGAATATTTCTTTGTTATAATGTACATATGAAGTTGACTGTTCTTATTACTACTCCAAAAGAGTATTATTATTAGCCCAACTACAGCAAGTTGAACAATTTATGTGTAAATGAATTTGAAGACTAAAATCTCTGGAACAGTATGTTGACAAACAGCAGTAAAGTGATTCTGTATTCTGTATTATAATATTTAATGCAATAATGCAATATGTTTAATCTAATTCTGAAAGTCCGGCTCCATGTCTTAGCATTAAATGTAAAAAAAGAAGGCACTCATACGACATCTTCTTATTTCTATTAACTTTTAGATTCTCACACCACCATCCATTGAACATTTTTCATCAAGCCTACGACAATAGTCACAAAAGCCAGACTTACTGATCCTACATTCTTTTGTTGTCAACATGAAGGTTCAGTCTGCGGTTAATGTTTTTTTAGACATCAATAACTTCATGGAATTTTGAAACTTGGACAGAAGCTTTTTCATGATCAAAAGACAGTATCCAGAGCAAAATTTAGAAAATATTTTTTTTTTTTTTTATATTTTTCAGATTATTGGCCAAAGTTTCCCCTGTATGCTAATACCTTTTTTTAGCAGTTTACACTTGTGTTCAATTTTTTAAACATCAATAACTTTGTCAAACCTTGATAAAAATATAAAATATGATACAATTTTGAAAATACTTATTTTTCTTGTTAACATTTACATGGTCTGGGGTTAAATTTTTTAGACATCAATAATTTTGTTAAATCATCAGGGAATGATACTTAACATGGACGGAAGCTTCTTCGTGATCAAGAAAAGCATCTGAAGAAGAAAATGTTTTTACTATTCTATTCCTGTAATTTCCTGCTGAATGGACTTGGTTTTTGGGAATCACCATTGCAATTTTACCTCGAAAACAGAAATTGCAAGATTCTGCAGAACCCATAACAAATTTTTCTTGAATTTCATATTAATAATTGATCTTTTTTATCCCCTTGCCAAACAAATTATTTTTAAAATATTTGGTTAAAATTACAATGATTGTAGTAAAAATCTACCAAAAAGATGCACCCTCTGACTGCTTGAATTTTTGTGAATAGGGGACGAGAATCTAAAAATTTATGGTTTTTGGCCTTATGACAATGCTTATTGTATGTTAATTAAATGTACAATTGCTTCAACTGTTTTAAATAAAATTCAGTAAATATTTGTTTTGTTTGGTTACTTATTGCAATGACTTAATTAAAATGTGGTGTTATTTTATTCTCGCACAAAGAACTTGCAAAGGGAAAACTTAGCATTCTACTTCAAACATAGGAGATAGTGTTGGCAGTGTCAAGAGTTTTGTTAGTCAATGATAAGGCCACTTTTAGAGGAACCTCCGAAGGGAAATCAATGATATTTGGTAGGCAGTTGTATTGTGTCATCTTAACTTTTACAAAATT